TGGCCGCCAGCCTTTCCACGCAGAAGAGGGAGAGCCGTGTGCCATTGAGCTTCCAGCTCGTGCTCCTTGCATGATGAAATCAAGGATGTGCTCTTGCCGTGGAAGGTAATGAAGTTCAGACTTTATTAAGGAGAGATTATATGAATGATATGGCACACTGCTAGACGCGTCCCACTTCCCTTAGACACTAAGTAGCCGGCCGCGCCATGCTGAAGGAACTTCCGCTTCAAAAAGTGCATCGCCACAGTGCCATGCCAACGGGCCGGTGAAGACTCGATCGAGTGCATCGGCCAGCTGGCAGAGCCTTCGCAGTGCTTCATAAAGCAAGCAACGTCCCACAGCATCTGCTCCAGTAAAGAACGCTATAATTATTCCTTGCAACATTTTGCAACCTTGCACCTGCCCTGGCACGTCTTTGCAGCTCAGGAGTGCGCTCCAATGGAGAACCAGATCTTCCAGGTCAAGGAAGTACCTGATGAATCTGTGGATTTTCCCACGCGCACCTTGCTGTTGAATCGTGGGAAGACGGTGAACATGCGCGGCACGCAGGTGGCGAAGTTGAATTTCTCTCCGGGGACAAAGAACCCGTACTATGATGGCATTCCAGAGTGCCTTATGTGGAAGGTGCCGGACGACACCAATGGATGGCTCGGTTGCGTGGCCGAATATCAGGATATCGTAGGCGATTACACACCAACGCACTGGCAGCAGAATCTGATCTCCACGACTGCGGCTGCCCTCAAGTTCGAGTACGGGCAGTTTATTCCCAGAGTTAATGCCACCACGCGATGGCAGCGCGAGGCTCCGACGATGGAGCAAGGCTGGCTCCTGGGCACGGAGGTGCAAGGCAACGACATCAACTGCGTTTGTGAGCCGGGGTCCTTGATACAGCGCTTCAAGAAAGAAAGGCATGCGCTGACGTACTTGTGCGCGCAGGTTGTCAATTTGGGCGCCTGCGTCGAGCAGACTTCCGTGCAGCAGTTGGACGAAGGGAGCACATCCAACATCGACATCGATTGCGGCAAGGACCGTGGGCTTCAAGCCATCCAAGCCGAGACGGATGCCAGGAGCAGGTGGACGAGATTCCGCTTCCGGTGCTGCCAGATCACCGCCAACCCCGTCCGCATGAGCACGTCCAAAGGCCGGCCTTCCTCGGACCCAGTGCAGCAGGGCATCTACCTTGCAGAGGGACGGATTGCCAACCGGCCATTGTACCGTGGGTACCGGTGGAATGGGGGGAGCGGGACGCCATTCGGTGATCTCTACTATGTAAGCAACACAGGCGAGTGGTGCCTGGATTCAGGTCCGGGCTCTGAGTACGCTTGCGTCTCCAGCGACCAGGTCAATCCGCTGGACCAGCAGCTGGGCGGGAAGGACTGGCAGGCACCTTATTAAAGTATGTTAAGAGGGCCCTGCTTAGCGATGCTAATAGCGACGCTGTGTTTAGGCGGTTTTTGTCCGTTGTCGGAGCTCGCGCGTCCCTATTGTCCAGAATTGTGGCCGCCAGCAAACCCCGGCCTGAAGGTCTAGGATCTGGAGATGGGGACGGCGAGGATTGAAAGTCCAAAACACTCACTTTCTCTTCTCACTCCATCGACGTTGCCAATGGCCGGAGGTCAAATTCAACTGCTTTCACACTAGGAGCTGAAATGCGTGCCTTGCCGCTTCACATGCGCCTTGTTGCAAAACCACGTCATAGATGTTCACAACAACACACCTAACACACCTCTGCGCAAACCTGAGCTCCGGCTTGGTGCAGTTCTCGGGTTCCGCAAATCTGAGGATCAATGATCCAGGCCTTCGGACATGGCAGCATCAAGCATATCGCACGCACAGATCCAAAACGCCAAGATCTATCCAATCTATTCCGTCTGCGACAGTACCCCCAGCTTCATTCTGAAGGACTTTCGCAACCCAAATGCCGAGTGCCACCAGCTTGTGGTGATCCTTCTAAAGGTGCACATACTTCATTCTCCAACACCTTGGCTGGTCCTCGGTGACGAATGTCCCTGCTCTCTGATGCCGTCTTAAGGCTTGATCCGCAACCAGTCCTTGCGCCTCAAGCACCTTGTTTCTTTTTCTCCCTTTAATGGTGTCGCCAACATCTCGCAGATATTCCGGCAACGCCCTCTCCTCCTCAGCCAAAAATCTCAAGATTTCCGACCGATCTTGCAAATCTTCCAGGCTGTTGGAGTTCTTCATTTGGCCGGCACAGGCTCTTTCCGGTGCGTCTCTATCGTCACTTTTGAGGAGTTGCCATTCGCCCCTTTTCAAAGGCTGCTGTTCTTCATGTCCGCAATCGGCTCCAACACATCAGCATAGCCCTAATGCCTAAGGCGCCTCCAAACTCCAAGAACAGCAGGTTCGCAGGAGGAATTTCTGCCACACCCTTCAACTTAAGTTGCGTTGCCGTCGTCATCACTCTCCTGTCCAGCCTCGGCCACTTCTGATCTCCGAGCCCTTCCAGAAAGTTTCCAGGATTGTCACCTCCCCCTCAAAAAAAGTGGATGATTCACCTCCCCTTCAAGGACCATGGACCTCCAGAGACGGTTGAGGCCTGGGCCGCAAAGTCCCTGAGTTTTTTGCGCAGGTCCTGGGCTGCACCTTCCATCCTCAGCTCGACCATCTGACCTCCAGAAGGTTTGCGTTTAGAGAGCCCTCCAACTCGACCGCAGATTCACTCCGAGATGCTGGTTGCCAGCCTTTGGCTCCAGGCTTGCCTCGGTGGTTCAGGCCGGTGGGGGTCTCTTGAGACTGCACCTCCAGCGTGGGTGGCCTCCCGCCACAAAAGCCTCAGCTTCATTTCGTCTGCACTGCCACATCCACCACATTCTTGAACATCAGGAGCTCCCGTGGAATGCATCTTTTCTCTTGGACCACCAGAATCCCTTGCGGTGCAGGGCCTGTCAAATTAACGACCTCTTCACAGTCATAGTCTGAAAGTGCCTCCCCAGTTCCTGCTGCCTTAGCTCATCCATCGGAAGGTAGCGTTATCGGTGCTGTGGGGGCTGCTGTCGGCAGCGAGGGCCGTCACAGAACCAGCTTCTCTCATCGCAGCGCCTTCGCCGCCCGTCGGGTGATCGCAGAATCGGGTCCAGTTGTCGTTGTAATTCCACCATCCATGCTCAAACCAGCCGATATCATCCCATCACGATCTGGACCAAGTTGCGTCCGACCAATGTCCAAATCCTGTACATACAGGATCGGTCCCACCATTGATGTCATAGGCGCTCTTGCACTACCAGCTCCACGAGCCGCATCGTAGTTTGGCCTAGCGATATCACCCACCAGCAACGGGCCTAAGCCACTTGGGCTCATATCCTAAGGATCCTGATCACTAGGACTGTAAGTTTGTGGCCCCGAACCGGCAAACCCTGAAGGCTGGTCTGGGATCTGGAGGTGAGGTCGGTGAGGATTGAGTTGACTTTCAAAACGGCCAAAGCTATGCTCATTTCCACCAAGCGGTTTCGCACCAAAAGCTGAAATGTGTGCGATGCCTTGTTATTGCACACCCCTGTGCGCATAGTCGTGCCGCTGCTGCAGGTAGCGCACGTTGACTGTAAACTGTAGCCGCTTTACATCACTTCAGCCCCGTGAGAAGCAACTGAAAATCTCGGTCTGGCAGGTCGTCCCGGTGAGCGACTTCGACAGCAACTTCGAAGCCTTCGGGGTCAAGTTGCCGAAGCGATTCCAGTCCAAACTCCAGGTGCCACCGCAGCTGACCTTTGCGGCCGAGGACCGCGTACTGCCGCTGTCTATCTCGCTTTCCCTCGCCTCCCTCACCCCCTGGGCCCCACTGCTGCTGCTTTGCTCAGGACCCGGTCTACGCGCCGGAGTGCAAGGAGGAGGTCAACCCGGCCTCCAGGGACTTCGACCCGAAGAAGATGAACGACGAGGCCGAGCAGCTCAAGGACACGAACAACCCCTGCGGCTTCATCTTCAGCACGCCGAAGACGAAGAAGAAGAGGACCGGCCTCTCTGGGGGACCGGAGAACCTCTTCAGTATTCCTGACACCGATGACTTTACGAACGTCTTCGGGTCCGAGATCGATGATGCGGGGGAGGGGCTGTCCTGGTACGCATGGAACCTCGGGGATGTGGACGAGCCAGGCCAATCGGGCATCACACCCACAACCGTCAAGGACGGGAGAACAAGTGCCGGGAGAGTGCCGTGGCGGTGTGCAGTCGTTGGGAAGAATGTAAAGAAAGTAAAGAATGGGGAGCCCTTGACTCCAGGAGTGCGCCGACCGGGAGATCACGCGGGACTTCCAGCTGGCTCAATGGCAAAGCGAGCACGGACAGAGCCCCCGGCGAATTTTTATGGAAATTTCTTTTGGGGAGGAGAGGGTGGCGGTGGGGGGCTTCCCAAAGTTTGCGGATACATACCTTTGGGGGAAGCTCACAGCCTAGGGTGGAGTACATCGCCGATGCGGCAGAGCAGGTCGAGGATGCTCTGGAGGCAACTTCGGACGTGGACATTTCAAGTCCTGGTCCCGAAATCAAGGTTGGCAAGGTGCTGTCCAAGTTCGGCAAGGCCGAGCTCTGTTTTCAAACGGATTTCTGTAGAAACTCCTTCCACCCCCAAGTTTTAACAGGGTTCCCCTACAGGCCTCCTTTACTTCCTTCGGTCCCTTCCTCCGCCTTAAATTCTCTAGAGAGAGAGAGAGAGAGAGAGATCACTTTCCCGGAGGTGTCCCGACTTGTCGGAGTATTGAACAGCAAGAATCGGCTAGGGAAAAGGGAGAGCAGCTTTGCGACGGCCGACAACGAAGACTGCAACTCCCTGCAGTGCCTCATACTTGCTTTATGAGAGTACTGAGAAGAAGAGTTTTGATTGTTGCGATGGTCACTATGGCTACTACTCGTACTACTACTCTGGTTTCCTCTGGGGGATTGTGGGCGCACGCTTGTTTGTACTTTCTTGTCTTTCGTATTAGAGAATATGCACGTACCACGTATAGCAAGAGTCGATAATACACATATACATATATATATATATATAAATTATTAGATGTATAGCGGCAGCTCAACGATAGGGCTTGTACAAGGCTTGCGATAAGGCGTGTGCGGCGCGACAAGGGTTTCTAACAAAGCTGGCGCGACAAGGCCTTCTTTCCCCCCCCCCCCCCCCCCCCCCCCGCGACAAACTGGGGTTTTGAGCCATACCCAAATAGTTATGTTGTTTGTATTTATACTGGTTTTGATAAACATCCGCAACCGAAGGTTTTGCGAAGCATGCCCAGAATGCTTCAGGCTAGATGCTTCCTGTGTTACTGTATTGCCTCTCTGATTTTCAATTGTTTGTCAAGTGTTGCTTCAGGTCATGCGTGTTGCTGCATTATTGTACATATTGCCTGTCTCGTTTCAATTCTTTGTCAGCGCTTTTTATGTGTTTGCGAATACCTGCAGCTCAATTTTCCACGAAACTAGCAAGATCTGGGTTTTGCTTATCGGGGGGTTTGTGCTTCAGGTCATGTATTTATTGTGGAATCTGCATTAAGAACATGTTCTTTGTCGTGAATGCTATTGCCTCTCTTAGGCCAATGCTGTTTCGTTTCGCACCCAAACGACTCGTGTTCTGAGATTCTTACATTGTCTGACCTGGCTCGGAAGCACCGAGGCACGGCCTTGCCCGGGTCTTCTGTGATCTGCACTGCGTCCGAGATGCCGTGAAGCAGGGCGACGCGGCGATCCGCGCGAGCCTCGAGGAGACTTTGGGGGACTCTGGGGGGGGGGGGGGGTGTTTGAGGGTGGTTTGAGGGCCACCAGTGGTAAGTAGCTCTTTTGGTAGCTCATTCCCCCAGTTTCAGATGAACCCCAAAAAAAGTCAAAGGGTCGCACGGAGCCGGAGGTGTTGTAGCGCACAGTGAGGAAAGGAATTCGACCATGTTGAAGGGTCCTGAGAGAGAGAAGATACGTTGGAGTGAGAAACCTCTTGGCGAGGAGGGCGTCTTCACTCTGCAAACGGAGCTGCCGCTCGGATGCCATGGTGCATGTGGCCGTGACTTGGGGGGATGGACTCGGTTAGACGTATGGTAAATATGTAAATATGGTTTAATAGACTTCTATAGACTTATACCCCGAGGCGGAACCTCTTCCAGGCCTACTTCAGGGACCGCTCGCAGTCCGCCAGCCTCTTACAGGCCACGGAGCTCCGGGACTTCCGGCAGATGCACGCCGGCCTGGCCCGGGACGTCCAGGAGATGCGGCAGCTGCTCCAGCGGAACCTGCACCCTGTGGCCCAGATCGCCTCCCAGCGCGCTCTCCAAACCTTCCGATCCGCCATCCAGGTGCCAAAAGCTAGCGTAAGGAAGGGGGGGTTGCAGGATGCACCTGACTAAGTCAAGTCTTGCCTTCTGCGCACTTGCGAAGCAGGTCGGCCAATCCCGCAACAACTCGATACACTCGGTCGTGAAGGAAACGGCGACGCTGAAGGCGACCCTCCAAACCACAGCCCGCACTCAGACCTCTGGCGGGGCTACAGTGGCGCGGAGGAGCATTCTTTCATGTCATGACCGTAGTGACGTAGTGTGATTGTTTGTCAATCGACCACAGGATTCAGGCCGCAACACCCGTAGCATGTCAATATTGACGGCGGTATGGGCAAACTGCCAGACACACTCTCGCGTCTGTGAGTTCTTACGTTGGACGGGAACGGTTATCATCGACAGACTGGTCATGGGTGGAGGACTGCGGACTTCGTTGTGACCATGAACCAAGTCATGCGCGCAAAGTTGCGGACGCTGGGAATCTACCACGCGGCTGCCTCGAAGAGCAGGCGAGGAGGGCTGGGCAGAAGAGTTTAGAAGTTAAGAGTTTTCACGTGCAACACACAGTGACCTGGACCGGTGTGAGTCTCGTACTTAGGCTGCTGCAGTCCAGGCTTTCCAACGGCTTTCAGGACCTCATGTCACTGTGCTACAGCTGCTATGGAACATGATCCAAGCGCTTCGTGGAAAACGTGAAGATCCCACCAAATGAAAACCTTGTGAGCTTCATCCCAAATGTACTTCAAACAAAGTCGCTATAGCATGACAATGAACATTCCTACAATAGTTAATGGTTTATGGAAGATAAGCTCAAAGGTTCAAAGGTTGAGGAGGAGACGTCGTTTAAATAGCGCCAGTGTTGTTTTGTATATTTTCCTTATTTTCCTTTTTCAAGTCGTTTTAAAGCCTTGGCAGCCATTCTGTTTGGCAGAGCAAAATTGTTTGTGCAAGTGTGACAGTGGTTTCTGTGAACTTAAATGAAGGTTGATGCAGCAGTTCAGGAGTTGTCGTCGGTCCTATGTTTAGCTCTCGTGACCATTTTGCTTAGCGAATCATAATGGCGAAAGTGAAAAGAGGTCTACCCAAGCGGTTTACAGGACCGGCAGATGCTGGCAGCATGCAGGTTTGCATCGGTTTGCCATCAAGTAGTTCATGTACTGATCATGTATTGCTGTTGCTCACACGCAAAGCTTGCGGGCCAGGACGAGCTCCGCGAGCTCTCCTTCACCTCGACCCTGAGGGCGCTGGACGCCTCGTGGTGGGAGCTGCGCAAAGAGCTGGACCGGTACCTTGACGCCTACGACGGGTACCTGAGGTGCAATGGCAAGAGCAAAGAGATGGAGCAAGAGGGAGAGAGCCGCCTTTGCAAATGAGAGGGCCCCCCCCAACCCCCCCCCCCCCCCCCCCCAACCCCCTTTTTTGCATTTTAAGGCCCGTGCCATCAAGAGGGATTGCTCTCTGAAGTTGTTCCCCTTCTGGTTGGAATGAAAGTTTCAGGGTGATGGGTCGTCAGGTGAGACTCTCTGACCTGGATATTGAAATGTTTCCGGGTTTCGGGTGTCTCAAGCCAAGACAAGAGATCAGCTAAACTTGACATAAACAGCTCTCGAAAAATCACGGCTGCTGTTGTCACCAAACTTCTGCTGGAATAGGCGGAGGCTTTGCTGATTTTTACTTCCAGCAGAAGTTGGGCGACAAAAGCAGCCGTGCTTTTGGCAGTTTTGACGACGAAATTCAGCCGCGTGCGGCCTCTCGAAGACATTTTGACGAAAACCTTTGTCCGGAGAAGGCGTGGGGCCAGGACCGCGGCTTTTGCAAGTTTTTTCCTGCGTTTTGCGGCAAGACATGCAGGAAAAGCAAAGAGGCTCATGAAATTCCATGCTTGTCGTCGGCTAGCGGTTAGGCCGGTTAGGCCATCTGCTTTTCCCCGAAACCTACATTACCAAAACAAAATGTTCACTTCAAGCATCCCTTGTCCCAAAGTTCATATACCAAGGCGGTTCAAAAAAGTTTAAAGCAGATTCACCTTGTCTTCCAGGATGCAAGCTCAATCCATTCTGGAAAACCTACTAATGTTCAGCAGCGTGCCTTTGTAGCTTCACATGAACTGAGAATGGAGGTTCCAAGGATGCAAAACATTGCAAAACAGGGTACAAGCTCAACCCACTTTTCTTGGAAGGCATGCGGCATGATCAACCAAGGGCAGCTGTATGTATTCGTATTGATTAAGGATTATACGGCTGAGGATGGATGTAGGAAGGGCTTGAGGTAGCAGGTCCCATTTGCAAGCAGAAAATGTTTGTCACAAGCCTTTCGTGACCTTCAAACTTGTAACGCAGCCTGAAACTGGTATTTTCCTGCCGCATGTGTAGGAGAAAGCACGCGCCAAAACTAGTTTCACTCACCAAAAACACAGTACACCTTACCCAAAAGCCGGCTAGCAGCTTCCTGCCCCCTTGCCAAGCCTGAGAGTTCCTGGCTTTTTGGCCGCTATTTTTTCGGTGCAGTCGCTGACCCGACAGTGCTTTGGGCACCCCGGAAGATGACTCTGTCCTAAACACTCAAAAGAAAGACTGCTTTCTCTCGCAGATGGCCGCAGACCTGGCAAGAAGAAACACCGTTGCTGAACCAGCTGATTCCGCACACTGTGTGCTAAAGGCTATGGGGCTCTTACGTTGGGCGCAGATTTGTAGATTTCCCAGTCTTGCTGCTTCAGCCGGCCGCCATATGCTCCAAAGCGCCTACCTGACAGGCCTGCTTGCCGCTTGATGGCCGCGCCATGTGTCCTGAGCTGCTGTCTGTCCTCTTTCCTGTCCTGTCTCCCATCAGCCGGTGCTGGTCTAGTAGCACTGCCGGTGATGGGGAATTTACCAGAGAATGGAGCCGAGGAACGCTCTTTTTCTCGACGCATTTGGTCACTTTTGGGGTAGATTCAAAACAGTCAGCATTTTGGTTGTCTTCTTTTGCAGTGAAGAAAGCTTACCATGATAATGTGAGTTTTTGTTGGAAAACCCCAAACAAGTTGTTGCTTACGGGCAGGCCCCTATGAAAGGGAATCTGTGTTTCCAGGGCCAAAGCTATGGGCTTTGTTTCTCGACAGGCAGGTCCCACGATGTTGTTGCTTTCCAGGCTTCGTCTTCGTCCAAAATCCAAGAACTCCCCAGTTACCTCTTGGTTTCTCAATTCACAACAAGACAAACACAAGATGTTTTTTGGATTTTGCCAAAAACGCTCGAAACTTTCTCCGGGCTCGAGAAAGGGCAGTCGAAAATTCCATTTCCCTTCCGAAACAACAATTCAAGCATCACGGAGATTCCAACCTGAAGCTGTCCCATGTCAGCTTCCCAGAAGCAGAAGCGAAACATAACTTCGGAGATTGAGCGTGCTTTCGAGTGTCATGCATGCTCACAGAAAAGAACAGAGAGTGTGAGGTAGAGAGGTGGGCACACAAGAAGAAAGCGAAGAGAGGAGCCCAGCGCACTTCTTTGGCAGGTCCTTCCAGCATGCTGTCGGTTTGCTGGACACATACACCCAATGCGGCGCCGGCTTTGCGGAGCTGAAGGCCGCCTACGCCTCCAGCGGCCGCGCCCACGAAAGCGAGCAGCGCACCCTGAGGGAGGTCTGGGCCGCGGCCGCCGCGGCCATCGGACGCATGGCCGCGCAGGTCGCAGACACGGGCATGCTGCAGGAGTTGGCTGCCCACGATGTTGCAGGGATGGCGCAGGCAGCGCCTGGCAGCTCTTGCAACGAGACCGCCTTCATGGAGGCTGCCGTCGAGGCGGTGCGCGAGGGCCTCTTCGGGCAGACCGTGCGCCAGCTCGACACGCTCTTCACTGAGATGGCGCTGCTCCGGCAGAGGCAGGGGAGCTTGCCAGCGGCTGCCAGCCTGAGAGCTGAGAGGGGCACGAGTAGGGCAGGACCTGAGTGACCCTGTGACCAGGTTCGAGGCACCTCCGGGCCAGGAGCTCTTCGACTCCGCAGAGCGGCTCTCGGCCGCGGCCGTGTCCGCAGAGGGCGCGGCCCACGAGCCGCTCGCGGGCAAACGTAGAGACCGTGTCACAACACGTGCATGTCACTGAACTCTACCTATTTCCTTTATCTGCAGCTACTGAGGTCATGGACACGGTGGAGGGGGTTGCATTGTGTTTCACACTCTGGCCTAGTGCTGGCCAAGATGCAGAGCGGTCAACCAGACCAGCCTCCTTCCTGGGTCGAGGACCTACGCTGGGGGGCCGTTGCGCTGCCGAGAACAAAGCGTAGAGACTGGAGTCGCTGGAGCTCGAACACGGAACAAGAGCTCTTCTTCTATTGTGTAAGATAGTATTGATGTAATGGCGTAGAAGTATATGGTATGCAAGAGCAAGCAAAATCAATGAACAACAAAGAACAACAAACATGCCGTAGCAGCAGCAGCAGCAGCAGCAGCAGCAGCAGCAGCAGCAGCCGCGGCGGCGGCGGCGGCAGCGGCGGCAGCAGCAGCAGCAGCAACAGAAACAGCAACAGAAACAGCAACAACAACAGCAGCAAGCACCAGCAAGCACCAGCAAACAGCAGCAAACTGCAAACCAACAAACAACAAGCAACAAACAAACCAACAACACACCAAACACAACTGACGACTGGCAACAGACCACAGACCACAGACAACAAACAATCAACAACAACAACAACAAAACCCGCAACAAGGTTATCACAAACAGCTTGCGGCATATGCAGCACAACGAACAACACACAGCACGACGAACTGCGCACAGCAAGCAGCACACAACAAACACAGCAGCAACAGCACAAGATAGCAGCACACAAGAGCAGCAACAGCACGCACCAGCGACACACAACAGTGCTCAGCAACGCACCACAACACAGCAAAGCAACAACCAACAGTGAAGTGGTGTGAAGAAAATGTGGGCCAGTTCAGCTCGACGAGTCGAAGAGTACGTTCCTAGCGCGCAAAAAAGGCATAGCCACCTAGTCCGTTGCAACTCGGGTTTTGATGGTTTGCATGAAAGGCATCGCCTCCATCTCCCTAAAGTGGCAAAAGCTTCAACCCTGGGCATGCGCTATCAGACGCTATCATGCACCCTGTGGAGAGGACACCCCGACATTGCGGCATCGATACTCGCAGCTAATGCTAGGAACCGCACTTCGCAGCAACAAGAATATGGAACAGTCGGAATAGTAGCCAGACTCTCTGGCCTGTTCTTGCTAACAAAGTGACGATGAGAACAACAGTGATCGTCCAGGAGTTGGAAAAGCAGCACGAGGAGTTCATGCAGAGCCAAGATACGCTGGCCCAGCAGCAGGAAAAGGTCTTAGAGGAGCAGGCGCGACAAATTGCGAGCCTTAGCAACGGCAGTGCGTCCATTGACGCGCTGGTTGAGACGGCCGTGCCGGCTCCTAGGCTCCTCTTGGCCCGAAAAAAGCCCGGGGCTTCCTTCCGCTTCACTTTTTCTCTTTATGAGTTGTGTTTTCATGTGTGTTCCTCCTCCTGACGAATGTTGGCATCCCCGACCTAAGTGACCTCACAGAATGCGCAGAGGGGGTCAAAAGGTCTTTTTTCTTTATTAATTCGTGGCGCTTGGTTTGGCGCGAGCATTGCTTGATGTTTCGAATTGCTTCAGAGGTTACATTGGCCCCGATTCCGACGCCGCCACCTGGGCTCTGTGAGCCAGGCGTGGAGTTAACGGAGCCGGCGCCATGGGCTGCAATTGGCAACATGAAAATGTCGAGGGCTGAAGAATTCCTGTAATCACATGCCGTCTTTCGTAGAGCCTGGAGCTCCAGAGCTCCATGCGGACTTGCCTTTAAATTGCTTTGAATGCCCAACTAAGGTGTGCCAGGAATCCCAGGTCCCATGTACAGTCACAATCAGCAACATGCCATCCCGCGCGGCCTCCAACGCAACAATCTTCCCGGGCTGCATCTCCTTCGCCGACGCAGCTCAGGCTTTGCGGTGTCGGGGTGTCTGTGTGTGTGTGTGTTTGCCCCTAGATACTGCAACCCCTCAGTTCCAAATTTGTAGCCCCAGTACGCCATGGCATGTGCCATCTTCTTTAAGTCATGGCACCCGATATGTGAAATCTGAAGGTCACAAACGCCAGCACGAAAGCAGTCCATGGTCATGGGGATGTCACGCAGTGGAACTTGAGGGTGTCCGTGTCCGCAGTGAAAAGCTACAGTGCCAGTGCCAGGTGCGCGGGGGAAGTGGGGGAACAGGGGGCTCCGCACTCAGGGGCTCCATGCTCTTGGGTCTCCTTGCAAGTGCGAAGCGAGGAAACCAGTAGCAGCCCTTGCCCCGGGAGGGTGGAGGGGCCAGGGGGGGGGGGGGGGGATTTCCATGGCCCACAGTTTGCCGTTTCCAATGTCGAGGGATGCCAGATTCCAGACTTCCGGGGCCCGTAGGATTTTCCAGATTTTCATGTCCAACCAGATGGCTTCCAGCGACTTCCAGCGGCATCGGGTTTCCCGGAAATTCCAAATTGCCTTCAGCTTCTGAATCGAGACGGATCGGTACGTGGATAGAAGATGCCCTGCAGAACAAGTTCCCCTGCATCTTCAATCTGCAGTCCATGCGTGAACCTGTTTGTTCAACCTCGCCTGATTCCGGCTTAAATCCTTCAACCTTCTGTCCATGACCCAGCCGGCTCGAATCTGGATCGACCGATTCAAAATTGAACCGACGGATCCCCCTCTCTGAAAGACTTCGAATACATGTTGTCCGCATGGGGGTTTACCGGATTTGCGAACTCGTAAGTTTTGTACGTGTGTACGTACGCATGCATGCAGTTACTTTTTCGGATCCTGAGAGGAGCTTTTCGAGTACTGCAACAACGGCAACACCACACGGAAAGTGACGGCCTCCACCTGCGACGCTGAGCCCAGCTTCCATGCCATGTTGTCGGCCTTCCTGTCCTACAACGGCAGCTGCCAGCTTGTTGGTTGCTTGCCTCCACCTCCGCAAGCCTCAAGCCACACATCTTCAACCATAACATTCTTGTTCCCATTCCGCCTCCAGGATGTGCGACCGGCAACGGCGTCAAATGTGCGAAGCCATGGAACAGCAGCGGCAGTGACCCGCGGGTCGCTCCAGGGCTGCAACATTGGCTGTTGTCGCGGTCCATGTCCTTCTTGGCTTCCCTTCCTGGGGTATGAAAGTATGAAATGTTAAGATATGATAAAACCCCTTGTGCTTGCCAAGACCTTGACCTTCGCTGTGGAGCCGTCCGCTTGCGTGTACATCGCGCAGCAACCAAAGTTCCTTATGGGCAACAGGACGGCGCCGCTTACCATCACGCTGCGAGCCCAGGATGTCTCCGTCAGTATCAGGGTTAGATGTGCGCAGCTTGGATGCTCGAGGTCTGCTGGGCTTGGCCCCACCACCACGACAACCCCCACAACCACAACGACAACGTCCACCAGCGCGAGCATGAGCACCACCAGCACCAGCACCAGCACCAGCACCAGCACCACCAGCACCAGCACCAGCAGCACCAGCACCAGCACCACCACCACCACCACCACCACCAGCAGCAGCAGCAGCAGCACCACCACCACCACCACCACCACCACCACCACCACCACCACCGCAAAAACCACAACCACAGCCACAACGACAACCACGACCACAACCACAACGACAACGACGAGTTCGACACCTTCTGGCGGATGGAGGCTAACAGCTCCAGGCCATGGTGTAAGACTGCTGACATTTCCCCACTTGCATGTTTGCTGCCTTGCCGCTTGATGCTGCATGTGGAAAACTCGCTGCCCTGGAGGTCAACCCTGCGATTCCGTTTGTGGAGTTGGTCAGTGTGACAAGGTTACAATGGCAACGATCAATGACGGTGCTTCGATCACTGCGGTGATGGGAACCCTTGGCAAAACATGTGATCCTGCCCAGATTCATGGAAGGTCCTATCCAGGCATCCCCTGCTGGATCCCACCAGGTAGGCGTTGTGCATACTGGAATGGGGGCAACCCAGCCAACATCGACTGCTCCGGCAACCAGTATGTCGAACACGAAGCCTTGTGCTACTGCCTTACAACCACCACCACCAGCAGCGGCAGCAGCGGCAGCAGTAGCACCACAACGACGACGACAACGACGACAACCACAACAACCACAACAACCACAACAACCACATCAACCACAACAACCACAACAACCACGACAACCACCACCACCAGCACCACCACCACAACCACCACAACAACCACCACAACAACCACAACAACCACAACAACCACCACAACAACCACAACAACCACAACAACCACAACAACCACAACAACCACCACTACAACCACATCAACCACAACAACCACAACAACCACCACCACCAGCACCACCACCACAACCACCACAACAACCACCACAACAACAACAACAACAACAACAACAACAACAACAACAACAACAACAACAACAACAACAACAACAACAACAACAACAACAACAACAACAACAACAACCACAACAACCACAACAACCGCCACAACCACTACAACCACTACAACCACTACAACCACTACAACCACAACAACCACAACAACCACAACAACCAGCACCAGCACCAGCACCACATCATCCGGCGTATGGAAGCTGACTCCTGCAGGCAATGGCCCAACGCGCACGTGCGTTTTGATGCATGCAGTGTGGCCTTTTTGTCGCTCGTGTGCTGACTTCTTGGCTCTGGGCAGGACAAACGTGTGACTCCGTCTGTGGAGGTCGCTGCGACAAGCAGAGGATGGCAAGGATCAATGACACCAGTTCGATCACTGAGGTGATGGGAAGCCTCAACATAACGTGCGGTACCACGTTTGGACGGTCCTATCTTGGCGTTCCGAATCTGAGTCGTGGCACCGAGTGTGTATACTGGAATGGGGCAAGTCCAAGCCAGATCAGTTGTGCCAACAGCGCGAGTGGTGTTTCTCAAGCCTTGTGTTACTGCACGTAGCCACTGACCGTGGCAATGATTAAATGATAGCAGGAAGTGATGAGAAGCCTGTGTGAACCGTGTGCTAAAACTAGAAGGGCTGGCTATGGTATTTCCCGTTATTGCAGATATGGAACACTGGTAGGACTAGATGTGACTACTGGAACAGTGGGCGCTCCGAAGAATAACAATTGCGCCTACAGCTTCGGTGGGCAAAATCAATCTCTGTGCTACTGCAAAAGCCTGACGCACATCGCCGACAAGTAATCCGATACTAGCTTTTCGCGAGAACGTGTCACAAAGGTGGACACGAACACCATACCAAGCTGCGATCCAAATGAGATCATAGCTGCATGTCGAGGCCATGAATTAGTTTCGATGCTGTACAGTTCCGTCAAGATAAGCACATATTCAAATATCTGGTGGTGATCGAAAATTGGCTCTTTGCTACATCAAGTTGCAGAGGGCAATGCCGCAAAGATCCGTTACTGCAGCTTCTTCAGCTTGTTGCACGGCAAGCTGCTTGAGGTTTGTTGGGCACGTTTGGATAGCGCGTGTGCATCGGTCTCGCCATTGGGCTGAAGAAGAGCAGAGGGAAAATCCTTGCTGTTGAAAAGCCTTAAACAAAGCAAAAGAGGGCAAAGGGTGGGAGAGCGACTGGGGGGGAGAGGGACGCGGAGTGATATGGCCTCGGTGCTTCGCTTCGTCGGCCTCGGCTTCCTTTGCGCTGGCCAAAGCGCTTGCTGCAACGTGACGGTTGAGACCTCTTTGCTACAAAGGAGGCCCAGGCTCTCGAAGGCAGAGCTTCTCGACAAGGGCCTGGAGATGGAGGACCAGGGGACTTTCAAGAGGGGCTAGAACCGGCCCCACACCCGGAAGCATGTATAGAAGGTTATTGGCACTGCCACAACGTTCTTTAAGTCGCGTCCCTAGCTCGACTCCTTTAGCCCGATCTCTCGCTTCTCCGCAAAGAGCGGGCCTTCAAAGACTGGAGGAGCAGACGCAGCAGTTCATCGAGGATCAGAGGGCAGCTGTTGGAAAGATTCGAAAGCTCGCTCGGGAGCGAGAGGCAAACGTGTCGCTATCGGAGGCTCGGCTTGGCTGCACCAGAACTCAAGGGGAGTCTCCGGTGCTTTGTGTGAGACAGCTAGGGTATGGCACAGAAGGTGTGGGTACGTGGAGGTTCGTGGGTAGTGGTAAGTAGTGGATTGGAAGTTCCCCAACTACAAGGTCAAAAACTGCAAAGTTACCCGATAACCCCCTGTTCTACTCGAACCCACAGAGGTTCAAGTGCTCTCATGTTGCTCTCATGTTGCTCTCAATGATCAGGCAGCAACCAGGCGGACAAGAAGCCGAAACGAGGACTCCGCCTTGACAGTCTCGGGGGGGTCGAGTTTCAACGGGCTCTTAAGGGGTTCTCATGTGGAGTTTTGTGGCCCGTGTGTTGTAACACCTGCAAATCATGTCAGTAAACATGGCACTAAAAGCACGTCAGTAATGTAGACTTCCGGTTCGCGAAATCCGCGGTGCCGTTTTTTGGGCCACCGGCCCACTCTGAGACTCTGAGGCCCACACTTCTCCCCCCCTCTCGAAAACGCGACTCCCCCGAAGTTCATGCGGACTTCAAGGTACAATCACCCTGTGATTCCTCCGTTCAGAATCCCAGACCTCGCAACGCCTGAGACCATCCATTCAGGTCCGAAATCTAAGACTCCTACCCTCAGCCGTGCATCCTCTAGGGCCCCTAAAGGCCTAAGCCTTGAGGCCTGTGGGAGATTCCAACGTGTCTCGGTGATCAGAACAAACTTCGCGCCCCTGCGCAGTTTTCTGGTAAGTTCCCATCGGAGTGGGCTCCTTTTTTTTCCGCATATCGATTTGCGCAGTCTTTGCGTTGCAGATAGATCTGTCTTTTTTGGAGAGCTCCGTGAACCTGGACCGAGCCATGCTGCCATGCCGTTCGCACGTCCAAATCGCTTGAATCTGTTTTGGATACCGCTCTTGAGGCTCAAAGATCGCGATCTCTATTTGTTTACACTGCCAACTTTCCTGGTACGAAGCAAGGGCGTATGGGGACGTATCGGAACATTTTGCTCAAATTTGAGAAAAGCAAAATTTGAGCGACACCTTTTGTTTTAACCGCCAGCTTGTTTTGAAGTCACTGCTAGCAGCCGGCCTTATGTCGCCCAGAGGCGCGTAGTATGTAGGGTAAGAAGTGTCTATGTAGTAAGTGATGGCGGGCTAGTAAGCAAAGCAACTACAGTAAGCGAAAGACGCAGAAACAATAAGAATAGCCGCGCATGCCAGGTGAGGAATGCACCAAGAAGCAAAACAACCGCACAGTAAGCGAAGACACGCAAGAGAAGCAAAGCAGGCGCATATGGTAAGCGACTAAGCGCCAAGAAGCAAAACAGCTGCGCAGTGAGGGAAGACGCACCCAGAAGCAAGCAAAACAAGCGCATCTAGTAAGCGAAGACGCACCAATAAGCAAAACGACCGGACAATGGTAAGCGAGGACCAAGAAGCAAAACAACCACATGCCGAAGACGCACCAATAATAAGCAAAACAACCGCACATAGTAAGCGAGGACACATCACGGCAAAACAATCACATATGGTAAGCGAAGGCTCACCACCAAGCAAACCAATCGTATCAGTTCTTGCATGCTGGGGAGGGCAGGGCGCCCCCCCGCAAGTTCCTGAGCCATAAGGGATGTTAGAGTACCACCGACGAGATTTGGAAATTTCCGGTAAAGAAAGCCGAGTCTCAAATGAAAGACACCAACACCAGAAGAGCAGCCTCACGCCAAACTCTCTCACGATCCGGGTTTGCACAATATGTGGGTCGTTTTCAGAGGGCCCCACGCGCTCACACGCGCTCAAGCGAGGAGTTGTTCGAGACTTGCCTGGCGCCCCGTCTGATGGCACAGACAAGGAAGCTAAGGAAGGAATCGAAGCATCAGTCCCACCTCGAAGTGGACTGCTCTTCTGGCTTCCCAATCTTCGACTTGAGCCTTGGGCGCCGGTTCAGCTGGTTTCCCCCGTGTTTTTTTCCTGGACTCTTTTGCCCCTAATTTCGAAATTGCCGCCCCCAAAAAAAGTTCGCATTGAGAAGGTTTGTGATGGGCTGTGCAGGGGTAGGAACGAGTGGACTGATACCCAGGTGGCAGGGAACCTACGTTTGCTGCCCCACAGCGGCCCTCTTCTGTGCAGGACCGGGCAGACCTTCAAACTTAACGGGGAGTCCAAGAGAGTCTTCGGGAGTCTTCGGGTGTTGTATTTTTTTCGTGCGCTTATCGAGGTTTCAAGAAGTCCTCATGAGGGCACATCATGAAACACCTTTTCGGTTAATCACGGAGTGGTAATGGAGGGCACGAGAAAACGCAAGAATTGCAACATCTTGTAAGACAGGAACAGGTTCCTGATGCGATCACGAACTACCGCAAGCGACCACAGGCGCCACCACCACCACGATTCACTCAAGTCAGTAGAGGGGATGCGGGTCTTTCTAGTGCACTGTGCACGTTGGGGTGGGCTTCCCGTGAGGATGCTTCCACCTTGCCGGCTTCGGCTGCGCCCGCTGCGCCGCGGGTTTTGTGGAGGTCCCCGGCGAGGGCCGCTGTGAGGCTTGCGTGGACACGCCGGGCTGGACGGATGCAAGCGGGAAGACGTGCGCCCGAGCCATTTGCGGCGACACCGCCTTCAAGGGCCTCTCCTCCAAGCAAGCTTGCTGCCGGTGCGGGGGAGGGCAGCGGGCCGCGACGCCCTTCACGTACTACGTCGCCCCAACGTTTCTCTACGCAACCTCCATCACGGGCTTCCCAGTTCCGCGCACCGCAAGCCACTACACCATCGACGGGGACTGCAAGCTCTTGGATTATGGCCTCACGATCGACGGCGACGCTCACATGTGGATCATGTGGACTCGGTGATTTGCTGTTTGCTTTTTCTTTGCTGCTAGGTCCTAGGAGTCCTAGGTGATGTCGGCAGCGTCGCTTCCCGCAGCGCAGCTGAGGCCACTGGCATGTTGCAGATCGCCCCTGCGGTTGGTCAAGTGGGCGGCACCCTCCCGGAGGCACACTTAAACTCAACCAAACACTTCGGCAGCTTGCAATTTGCCGGCAACCCTCCGCCGTAATATGGCTGCCTCGGACGGTGGGGGGGGTGGGTGTTAATAAGTTTGATGGTCATATGACTATACTAATTGGTGGAGTAGCATTGTTCTGGGCACCATGCTGCTAATTCAATGCCCATCTCAAAGCTTTGGCGTGAATTCAGCGCATGTGGTCACGAGGCTTGCAGAGAGTCTCGCCATTTGGGTCCTTACCTGCTTCATCTCGCTTCCTCCTTCTGCCCAGAAGGCGTAAGGCAGAAGAGATCGAGGGTTGTTCATGAGCGTCCTTCGTTCAAAGGCAGTGTCAGACAGGTGGCTGGAGGGAGCCTGGAAGGAGGCTGGAGGCGGGTCGCTGTTTGCAGCCACCTCCAGCATCCATGCGAAAGCACGAGGTATCATAGAGCCATCAAAAGGTTGAAACTAGATCTTCATTTGCGCGTGTACCTACAGCTCTTCATGGGCGCCCAATGGTCGCAATCCGACGTGCGGTTCGTGATGCAACGGCTTTGAGTGCGGTTCGGTTCCGTTCTTCGGATCCTCGGCCTTCTTGCGTTTTTTCTTCTATCTCGGTGCCTTTGCTTCGTCTGCTGGACTTGTCCATTCAAATGTCTGCAAAGTTTGGCATTGTTTGCGATAGCGGGTAGCAACAGTTGATCTTGCAGATGCTGCGTACACATCCTTGCAATGGAAGGCCTTCCTTCGGGTCCAGTACCGTATCATATTGTTCACATGCAGCGTCTCTTCTATCATGTTTCTGTTCCGTCCCCTTTGCTTGATGATTTTCTTCACCGTCAACATCCGAAGGGGATTCCCCACCTGCCGGGTGTGATTTCTCTAGCTTTGTTCAGGACACAGTTCCCGACACAGGTGCAGGACGGACATCAGCCGTGTGGGAAGGCGGGCAGCTTTGCCAGAATGTAGCTGAGAAAAGGAGCTGTCAGGCGAGCAACAGTCACAGTACCGGAACGTGGCTCGAAGCTATGAAATAGGGAGGGGGTGGCGAGGTGTGGTGCGTTCCTACAGACCGCGTTCTTCAATCGTCCGTGCCTCTTGAAAAGCGACATGAACACCTTGTTCTCTGACACGTTGAAGCCACCAAGGGGCAATGAGGGCGATGCTTCTTGCTCGCTTGTAGAGTGCTGGTGGCACTCTCTCCAATCGCGAATCTGGGGATAGTTGTTGGAGTAAGTTTACACGAGATTGCGCGTGACTTGCCATGACTTCCCACGCCCCCAGCGCCAAATTTGAAACACCCTAAGTTCACAGCCTTCACTGGCTGAGCGGTTTTTCACGTTGCGACTTCAGCCAGAGGTGCCCCCCCCCCCCCCCCCCCGTCCACCCCCTTAATTGACAAAACGCTAAGAGACTAAGAGAAACACTAGACAAACTCAACTTGACCGGGGGTGCGAGGCTTTCAGCATCTCTTGCACCATCGTCGCCCACCAGACCGCCAGCCTCTCGGCCTCCGCGACGCTCACGGTCGTGGCGAAAGACAGTTTCTCCTACGGACAGTACCCGCTCCTCAGACGCAGATTCGTGACGGTTCCCCTGCCCGCACGCGCACATAATGCCGCACAGTATAGTGGTCCTGCCTCAGCATGCCGAGCAGGTTATTCTTCGGGCCTCAAGGAACCACGAAGACGCCAGTGCGCAGAGCAGGCAAATATGTCTTCAAAACACTCAGCTGCAACCCAGCCGAGAAGACGGATCTCATGACCCTGAACGACGATGACGGAACGATCAGCTGGATAAAAAGGGCAACTGTCGGCGGCGGCATCGCTGCTGGGTGTCCGAGTTCAGTTTTGTTGTTCTTGCGAAGTTTAAATCACGGTTCTCGGAACCAAGCCAAAAGGCTCCCCCCTGCGGTACCAGGATTGGGATTCGGGCCGGAGCTCCTTCGGCTTCCTCAGTACCTGGGGGTGCATCTGCCGCGTGGATGCCACGCGAAGAATTGGCCTCTCAGATTTCGAGGCCGTGGCAGCTTACTTCGTTGCGATCGAGCCCGACGTCTGGACGGACCTGCGCTACAACCGGGCGACCGATCGCAGCAGCCCCATCGAGGCCGATATGGGAAGCATGTGTAGGCATGTGAATGTTTGTGCACATAGCTGTGTGGTTGGGTTTAGTGCCTAGGCCTACAAGTAGGGCGTTTGGGCTGCTTAAATCACCCAATCCTCGACAGAACATTGCCCTGAACCATGTGAAAGGTCACAGTCGGGCAGGTGGCGCCCACTTTGAAGGTACAGCCGTATGAGGGCATGTTCAAAGTGCCCCCCACTGCCTTCACTGGCAGCTGCTCTAGCGATGCTGGACACACGGTCGCCTTGGACACCGTCACCGGCCAGGGAACGTACGAGGGCTTCCCCTTCTTCGAGTTGGACCTGACCACGGGGTCTGTGCGCCTGGCCCCGTCGCAAGAGCTCACTAGCCTGATGTCCGCAGATTCCGACGGCCGGGCATCGCTGAGCGTCTCTTGTGGCATCTACGGACTCTACCAGTTCCCACCCTTCGGGGACGGACCCGTCCTGCCGGCGGATCTCTTTTTCAGTGCTCAGGACGACACATGCTTTGTGCCCATTGACCAAACCCTTTACTTTCTTGAGTTCGAGACTACCTCCGTGTCCTCTCATGACGAATGCCGCCAAACCTGCCGACGGGATCTGGCTTGCACATACTACAAGTTTGAACAAGCAGGCCATCGCTCAAAAAAGTGAGTCCAGGGCTTTGGTCGAGCTGAGACTCCCTCTAACTCCCTCTGATACTGCGCGCATGTCCGGATCATCTGATACACCTGTGTGAACTGATACGGCTTCTGATGCGAGTTGTAGGCTTTCTGGTGTGAGCTGCAACGCCTTCTGCGGCGAATCTGGCCCATTCTCTCTCATATCTGTCTGAAGCAAATCACCGTACATGCAAAAGTTTTCTGAGACGCACCTATGAGCCTGCGAGCGCGCAACCCAAGCAGCATCGCAAGCGAAACATAATGACATCGCTGTTTAGATGCAGTTTGAGTCCAGGGGGTCCGCGGGTCCACCCTCCTGGAGTGTCAGATGTGTGCCAACAACTCCCCCCCCCCTGGTACCTCGCATGCTTTGGCTAAAGAAGAAGGGCGGTGGGGGGGGCGCCCAATGCACCGCCGCGAGGCGGCAGATGCACAAAGAAAGGGACTGGTCCGGCAGCAGGGGACCCCCCAGCAAATGCCTAGAGGATCCCCACAAATTGTCACACTAGCGGGTCGCTAACCTCTTTCATCATACTTCGTCTCATTGCCCAGTGCCTCCACTCTAAAGCCGCCACCCAGTCCCTGGGGCCGGGCCCCCCCTCCCCCAATTCCCCGCCCCCCCCCCCCCCCCCCCAAAAAAAAAACCGATTCCAATCAACGCAAGAAAATTGTCAAGGGCTCCTGACATGGGACTTCCTACGACATGTGCCTAATCCCACAGCGCCTCAGCTCGGGCGTAGCAAGCAACAACTCGTGGTAACTCTTATTGCGCGACTCCCACGAAGGCTGCACCCAGTACAAGGGGCTTTGCCCAGATTCCGAAGGCTGCAAGAGAGTCTTCGCCGCTGGGCTTAGACCCTTAAATTCTTGTTCATACGAAATCCTTATGCGTCCTTCTCTCCGTTCGCATCATAAACTGAGGCAACGAATCTCTTTGCCCGCGTCCCCGACTGTGCAGAGCGGAGCACGTGCATTGAGCTCAGCATCCAGAACCGGCACTATTGGGGGGGTCGCTACTGCTACTACGGCGAGAACAATTATGAAGGTCAGAACCGGGGGCCGCTTGTAAGTGAGCAGAGTTCCAGTACCCTCCAGCATTCTCTACTATGTTGGAGCAATTCCATAAGAAAAATGCAAATAAAACTGCTGTGCATAGCTGTGCCGCACGACTTCGGCCTGTAGAAGTCGGAGAGGTTCATAAGTATTCTGAAGCCTCAAAGAGTTGTGTCCACGCCGACGTTGCGGGGCCTTGCGGAGGCGGCCTGGTCTTCCTGAAAGAGGGCCTCACCAGCACCGAGACCTTTTGGCTGCACCGCACAGGCCGCGGCGAAGATACCTGGGTCCTGCAGAGGCCTGCCGAAGGCCCCGGGTGAGAGGGAGGATGCGAGAGAGGATGCAGAGGGGAAGGGAGAGATCGCGCATGCGCGCGCTGCGAGGTGACTTCTACAATGCCTCTGCAGCCTTCATGACCTTCGCTGGGGAGATCGTGGCCGAGATCCCCGCAGGCGCCTGCTTTCGGCTTAGTCAACTACTTAGGCACGAAGCTGCTGAGTTGACCTGAGAACTCAAGCGCGCAGCAGAGCTGTTGCCGAGGCGGAGACCTCATCGCCGAGGTTTTCAAGAAGGGCTCCAAGTCCTTTCCGATCACTGACACCTCAGACACCTTGACGGCCGCGGTGGAGCTGCTCCGCTGTGATGCGCCGAACCTGACCCAGAGCGAGGCAGATGACCGTGCAGAGACAGCCGACGGAGCTGAGGCGGTGATGGTCGACGACCCATGGACAGAGATCCCCTATGACCACTGGCTGCATCCTTGCCATTGTGTCCCACACCTTTGGGGCCAGAATGGCCCCGTGACCGCAGAAGCCTTCGGAGAGATCCCGGCAGAGAGCCGCAACGTCTACCTTCCAAGCCCTTTCCCGATTTTGACTGGCCAGTTCTCCTGCGGCGTTAGCTCGGAGGACCTCTTGGATGTCATCGTGGAGTCCGATGTGCAGACTGCCGACCTCGAGGACTGCCAAGCCCAGTGTGCCAAGAGCAGCGCGTGCCGGTACTTCTTCACCGGCGAGGTGCTGTCGGTCAAGCAGTGCAGGCTGTACAGCAGCTGCACATACATCTACCGGGAGCTGGGGCTCTCCGGCACCCTCTACTCTTATCCAAAGGGCACAGAGGTCTGCGCCATCGCGAACCCGGAGGCGTGCTGGCACATCACGAGGCGCCGGCAGCACCTTGGTGCCTTCTATTCGGATATCGAGCTCTACCTGCCGAAGTTAGTGGACGAGTCCCTCTTTCGGCAGTGCGACGAGGCGCTGTTCATGGGCGGCATGGGCGTGGAGGTCTGCGAGCCCTGCAGGTATGCCCAAGTGCCCGATCCTGACTCCAAAGAGCGGCTGGCGCTGGAGAAGTCCCTCTTCCGGAGCAGCTACGCGCACGGCACGCTGCTGAAGGCGAGCTGCTGGTCCGAGCGCTATGGGTCGCTGCCAAGAAAAAACTTCGAGCAGATCTGTGTCAATGGCAAGTGGCTCGACTCCGATGGCGCCAGCCAGCTGAGCCACTTCGCCTGCGTCGCCATGGTCCAGGTCGTCAGTGGTTACTACCAGGAGCTCGACTCCCACAACTTGCAGGAGCTCTACTTCTTTGAGGGCTTCAAGGTCGAAATCACCTTAAGTCGTACCGGAACGCTGGAGCAGAAGAAGGGCGACTTCTATGTCAAGCAGACGACTACGGCCGCGCCCTGGGAGCGCCCCGGCATTGCATTTTGTGGCATATTTTGCGGCAGATCACCCATGGCCCCTAAGCCAACACTGTGCCGTATGGCAGCTCTCTCAAATGCTCTCAAGGCGTCAGTTCGTGTCGGCTGCCGACGAGACGAAGTGTGTGAGCGCCAGTGGCTTGGGCCGAAACTGCTGGGTGTCTGTTCCTGGGGATTGGGCTTTTCTTGGATGATCTCCGTTGGGATCCTCCTTTACTTCTAGAGAACTTTCTGAACCCCTCCTCACCAAAACCTCGTGAAACATACTGCACCCCACTGGCGCCGCCCAAAGAAGCGGCGTGTCTGTGCAAACCTTGCAGGGCTTCCGACTCCGGGCGCTCTTCAAACATGCAACGAGAGGGATCCGCAGCAGCTTCTGGATGGGAACACGGTGGCCAGCTTCTTCTCCGAGTCCTACAACAAGGACCAAACAAGCCAGGCGAGAGCTTCTTCGAAGGAAGGGGCAATCAAGCGCATGAACGGTGGGCTTACGGATGTTTACGGTTGGTTTGGGCAAGGGGTGACCACTGCTTCAAATCGGATAGTTCTAGTTCGGGGTGGCATCTCCGGGTCTTTGTGAGGTCGGGGGTGTACCAAACCCCACGTCAACGTCGATCTTCGACGTCTCTGACACCCTTGACTGCGATGCCGGCGAGGAAGGTCGGGTCCTACAAAGGCTCGACTTCACCAGCACCTCCATCACTGGCACCTGCATCGGTGCAACCACCGGTCAAACCAAAGCGGCTGTCGAAATCCCCTTGAGTTTTCAGATCGTGTACCTCGCCTCAACTTTTGAGGTGGTGTGCTGTGGTGTGGTTCAGGCTCATCTAGGGCATGTTGGGGTTTAGGGTTCTATTTGCCGATGCTGGAGGAGCAGACGTTGGCAGAAGTGCCTTGTTGCGGTGCCTTGCCAGACGGAAAGTCAAGACGAACCGGAATGCATCTTCAACGAGTTGCAGGCACATGCCCCTCTGAGGGTAAAGAGAAGTGAGCGGAGATGTGAGGGGATTGGGGGGGTTGAGCTTCTAAATCAGTTTGAACTGGGCAAGGACTGTGATGCCACGGCAGACCAGGCGTTCACCGTCTTCACCGGTTTTTTCGTTCAACTCCGAAACCGTGGCAACGCCATGAGGTTCATCGACAATGCCAGCACGGGGGTATTCAGATGGGAATTACCGGACCGGGGCGTTTACAAAGGTTGGCTGGGCATGATTTTTCCGTCTGGAGATGGTGCGACACTTCAATCCGACCTGGGGAATCGCGTCAGCGCCAAATACAGTGACAAAACCCCCCGCCCCTGGAATGACGCTGCTCCGTCTGAAGATGAGGAGACGTGGTATCTGAGCCGCTTGATAACGGGCAACGACATGAACTGCGTTTGTGAGCCGGGGTCCTTGATGCATCGCTTCGATAAGGGCCGGGATCTCCTGACCTTCGCCTGCGTGGAGGTGCCCGGCTTGGGCGCCTGCATCGAGACAACCTCCATACAGCAGAGGATCGATGGGAGCCTCTCCCAAATCGACGCCGACTGCGGCAAGGACCATGGGCTTCAAGCCATCCAGGCTGAGGTGGACTCCAGGAACAGGTGGGCGAACTTCCGCTTCCGGTGCTGCCAGATCGCGGCCAACCCTGTTCGAATGACGAAGTTCGGAGAAGGAACCGTGCCTTTTTACCCGGATGAGCAGGGCATCTTCGTCCCGACACGCCGCGATGCTTTCAACCGGCCTGTGTATTCAAGCAACGGCTGGCAAGGGACCGGCGTCACACCTGCTTCCCTGAGTTATGAGGAAGGCAAGGGCGAGTGGTGTTTGGAAAATCCGGGTCAACAATACTGCGTCTCCAGCGACCAGATCAATCCTCTGGACCAGCAGCTGGGTGGGAAGTACAATTCACTGGCGTCCTGGCAGGCACGAAAGCATCACGAAAACAGCAGACTGCTGTAGATATCTTTTTAGTCCTCGAGGCCCAAACCGTCTTTCCATACACCCTATATTTGAGAAGGACGGGCTGAAATTCATTGAGCTAACTTTGGGAAATGGGACGGGTTGATTCCGGACACGTATTCTGCTAGATGGGATGAATACATGTACCATGTAGAATGATACTTTGGCTCAGAGAAAAATAGGAGAGTCGCTGTCAATTTCGAATCGCGCGCTCGGTTGCGCTCCAGTGGTGAATGTTTGTGTGTTGACACTGTGTGCCAGACGGCCAGAAGGGCACGTTGAAACGCTACATTGCGGTGGGCCCAACGGTTGTGGGGTCAACTTGGGAATTTGCCGAGGGATCTGAACTTCACGCCCTTGCCGATACGTAAGTTATGTCTCACGTGCAAGAAGTCTATGCCGCACCTGCGAGTAATGAAGGACAGCAACTTGGGATATACATCTTGACGAGGAAGACTGATGTATGCTGGCAATGATGCCAGTCGTTTTCCACAAAGCACGTGGATCACTCTGGCACCTGTGAAAAAATCTAGGACAGCTGCTGGTACTTGGACGGATACCGCCAGCTGTTGCACGAGCTCGTCGAATCTTTGCTCTGCCGTGGCCGTCGCCACTGATTCCTTTGTTGAATCAAGGTGCCTGCTCCTGCCCTGACCTCCCAATTGCTGATCTTCAGCACTTGCGCGTACCAGATGTATCTGTTAACTACAACGACTCAGTCGCCGTCCTTCAGTACTCTTATATTGACTGACGAACTTAAATGTGTCTTTTTCGTTGTCCTTACCGGAAGCTGGCAAGTCAAAGCCAAAATGCTGTTCTTTGTGCTCACTATGACACGGGCGGGCCCCCCCATGCAACCTGTACTTTCGAAGCTGGGGCAAGAGATTGTTACTTGTGGCATTTCGTTTCCGCAGCCTCGCACTCCCACGGCTTCCCGGTCTCTAAGTTAGGCATGCGGAAGGCGGAAGGGTCAGATGATGGAAGCTCGCGTTGTCCTCAGCAACGTCAACTAGAACCTGTGAAGGCTGTGCAACCCCGGCATGTCTGGCAGGTAGTCCCAGTGAGCGACTTCGACGCCAGCTTCGAAGCCGTTGGGGCCAAGCTGCCGAAGCGATTCCAGCGGAAGCGCCAGGTTCCACCGCAGCTGACCTTCGCGGCCGAGGACGCGGGGGGGGGGGTTGGGGAGGGGCTGCCTCTGGCTCTGCCTCCGTCCATCTGTTCTCTTTCCGCTGCTCCTCGCTTCTCTGCTGCTGCTTTGCTCAGGACCCGGTCTACGCGCCGGAGTGCAAGGAGGAGGTGGACCCGGCCTCCAGGAACTTCGACCAGAAGAAGATGAACGACGAGGCCGAGCAGCTCAAGGACACGAACAACCCCTGCGGCTTCATCTTCAGCACACCGAAGACGAAGAAGAAGAGGACCGGCCTCCCTGCGGACAACTTCTTCAGCATCTTTGGTGACATCTTCCTTCCTGACGGCTTTAACGGCATTCCTGACCAAGCCATGTCAGATGTCTTCGGGTCCGAGATCGATGATGCGGGCGAGGGGCTGTCCTGGTACGCATGGAACCTCGGGGATGTGGACGAGAAGGGCCAATCGGGCATCACACCCAAGACGGTCAAGGACAGATGGGAGAACAAGTCGCTCAGGTGTAGCAGCAAGCTTGGTATAAGAGAGGGCTGTAGAATGGCATACAGTAGAGCAGGCCTGTGGCATCCTGTGGCCAGCAAAAAAGAGAAAGAGCATGAAAGAGAGGCGGGTGCCTGAATGTGCCTGAGTCCAGGAGTGCGGTGACCGGGAGATCGCCCGGGACTTCGAGCTGGCCCAATGGCAAAGGGAGCATGACAGGTGCTTCTGCTGCATCTCGCGCACACCTCATATGGACCCTGCTGAAGTCACTGCCCTTACCCCTGAATTGAAGCGGCGCCGGGTGACCCAAATAGCCAACAAGAGGGCTCAGCAGATTCAGTAGATTTCAGGTTTTCGGGGAGGGCAATTCGTGAGGCTTGCATGTGGTCACATACTATCCCACAAATGTTCGCTTCTCACGAGCAACCACTCACAGGGTTAGCCAGGCGCTTGGTGGAGAGAGTTAGAAGTTAGAAGTTACGTGTAGCAGTGTCAAGAGCTCCTGCGCAAGGGTTGCAAACATGTTTCCAGGATGTGCAGCACAGCTGTCGGAACAAGGGAGCCAAAAGGCAAAAGGCCCTCAAGCGCAAGGCCACTTAGCTCAGGGCACCGCCTGAACCCTCAACGTCCCGCAAGGTCACCGCTGCCCCCCGAATTCTCCAACTGCCTGAGCTGAGGACGCAGTCACAACTCGACTTGATTGAGGAGGCCGAGGCGATCTTGATTGCGCTCCCTGAAGTCAAGGCCGGGGTTGGGTTGGGGGGGGGGGGGGGGGGGGGGGGGGGCGAATTTTTCATGTTGCGCAAGGGTCTTGTCGAAGCTTCAAAGAAGGGGGGTTGCATATGGGGTGGAGATGGGGGATGTTTACGGCTGGTTGGGGTTTGTTTTTCAGCATCCGAGCTGGAGGGTCCGCTGAGATTTGCCCAAAGCCCGAGATGCCCTATTTCTTCAGCTCTATGAGCTATCCAGAGTTGCTTCATGCTACTGGTGTCACAACTTAGGTGGGTTTTCTTGGCCCGGGAAAAACCATCAAGACTGGCAAGATCGCCTCCAACGTTGCCAAGGAGACCGCGATGCACCGTGTGGGTCGCATCGTTGTGTAGGAAGACCTGTGGAAGTCCAAGCTGAGGGATTGTGAGCCTCAAGCATTGACCATCAAAAACTCAGGCTTCCGCGGCAAACAGGCTTCTCTGTAGATCGTTACGAGGCTGTAAAGAATCGAGGGGGGAGGGTCCAGGCCCGTCATCCAACCAGGCATCGCGCCTCGTCGGCACGCTGAACAATGCCGTGAGGCTTTGGTCAAGGGAGAGCCGGTTCGCGACGGCCGACTACGAGGACTGCAACTCCCTGCAGTGCCCCCACGGCAAGAGACCTGCTGTTGAGGTCCTACAAGGACAAGAAGACTGGCAATATCCACTATAGCACCAATCATACCAAGTGTAGCATGAAGACCACAACGACGAGTACCAACGGCAGGGCTCTGTTTGCAATACTTCTGTTTACACCAAGCCCCCCCCCCCCCCCGCCCCACGCTTCAAAAAAAAAGCCTCAACGAAAGAGTTGCTCGGCCACAAGATTCCCAATATGGAATGAGAAGAGAATTGCTCGTCAGAGCTGAAACCCGTGAACCAAGGCATGGCCTGGCGCGGATCTTCTGCGATTTGCACTGCATCCGTGATACTGTGAAGCAGGGCGACGCGGCGATCCTCGCAAGCCTTGAGGAGAGTTTCGTGGTTCTGCAGCGCGAGATGTCTCTTGGCCGCTAGTGCCGCTAGTGATAACTTTCACTCTGAATCGGGCAGCTATGGGCAGCTCTCAGCAGAAGTGGGATTGAAGATGGGAGAAGTCCGAGGCGCAACCTCTTCCAGTTCTACTTCGAGGACGGCTCGCAGTCTGCCAGCCTCTTGGAGGCCTCAGGCTTCCGAGAGGTACGTGCTGGCCTGGCCAGGGACGTCCGGGAGATGGTTCAGCTGCTCCAGCGAAACCCACCGCTGCACCCTGTGGCCCAGATCGCCTCCCAGCGCGCTCTCCAAACCTTCCGATCCGCCCTCCATGCGAATTCTGCGAAGGCGCTCTTCCTTTTTTTCAAGCGATTTGAAAGCGCAGCCTTTTCCGGGGAGCACACAGTGACACACTTGCGGACATGCGTTTGCACTGAAAGGGGGGCTTCTACCAGGAAAGAAGGCGGACCCTTAAGCGTTGGTTTTGGGCTCTTCTCGGCTTCGACTTAGAGGCCAGAGTTGAAGCGTGTGCGGATATAAACCGAGCAATTGTGCGGGGAATCATCTTAGACGTGAATCGTAATTTCCTGCGGTACGTCGAAGAAAGCTTTTGTGACAGGGGGATGGCAACGTGACCGCGATCACCACGAAACTCGTTGAGGAGACGGCCACGTTGAAGGCAACGCTGGCGTCATCCGCCCTCATTCAATCTTCCGGCACAGCGGCCGCACAGCGGAGGACGACGGAATTCGTGGCGACCATGAATCAGGTCCTGCGTGCAAAGGCACACACGCTGGGGATCTATCATGGGGCTGCCTCGAAGAGCAGGCCAGGAGTGGGCGGAGTGGCAAAGCCTATGCATAGCCTTAGCAGCACTAACAATAGGAAGGCAACCTGTTCTGCTGCGAATTCTGGCTGCATCTGAAGCTTGCCGCCTAGTTTAAATGGAAAGACCGTGCGTCGCCTTGAGGCAGCGGCAGTCGGCACTCTTCAAGGGCTTGCAGGACTCCGGTTGTGCGACTTGTGGCTTCATGTTGCCAACGCCGTGTGGCAGGACGAGGTCCGAGAGCTGTCCTTCACAGCGACGCTGAGGGCGCTGGACGCCTCGTGGTGGGATGTGCGCAGAGAGCTGGACCGGTACCTAGACGCCTACGACGGGTACCTGAGGCGCACTGCCGCAGCGGGGTGATCACTGTGATCACTGCGAGCGAGCGAGAGAGAGAGAAGAGAGAGAGAGAGAGAGGAAGGAAGAGAGAGAGCACAGAGTTTTAAGGTTCCGAAGACGTTTTTCATTCGGGTCGATTTGAGGGTGGTCAAAGGGTTGGTCTTCGGATGTTAGGAGAGAGAGGAGATGAGAGGAGTGTGGGCGGCAGTCTGGCAGGGCTAAGATCTCTCTCGATGTACAGGTTCCTGAGGACGCGGAAATCGGGGCACGCCTTGGCACAGGAGGTCTCTCCCGTGCGAAAGAAGAAAGAAAAGCAAGGAAGACAAATACAAAGAAAAGAGAGAGCGCCCGCAAAGAGGACCGGGAGACAACGCAGGCAGGGGTCAAGCAATGACATCTCCCCTTTGACCTTTGGGTCTCCTTGCAGCCGCTAAGAAAACACAGGGGCGCACGGGCTGCGCGAGGCCCCTGTGCCCTCGAAGAAAGAAAGAAAGAAAGAAAGAAAGAAAGAAAGAAAGAAAGAAAGAAAGAAAGAAAGAAAGAAAGAAAGAAAGAGAGGAAGAGAGAAAGAAAGAAAGAAAAACAGAAAGAAAGAAAGAGAGGAAGAGAGAGAATCGAGGGGGCCTCCTAGCTGCGTAGAAGAAGAATTCAAGTCTCGGGAGGGAACCTTGAGTCTCCGCGCTCTTTCAAGCCTCCGAGGTCTCTGCACTTCAGACATCCACTGTCAGTTTCGGGATCCTCCTTCTCCGTTTGCATCGCCCCAGAATGCCCCAGGCTTTGCTTGGACTGCCCCCGCCACGAGCGGTGGACATGTAGGGAACACAAGACAGGGTACACGTGGGAACCGAGGGCGAGGAGGACGCTGCGAAGAAGAAGGAAGAAGCAGAAACTCGGTTGTGGAATGTTGTGGAAAGGCGAGGGAGAGCCAAGATGGATACGCTCCGACCGGCCACCACAACCGTCGTGGGCACGGCAAGCCACCAGGAGGCGCAGAACAGCAAGATCACCATCAACCTCGGGGGGATACGGGGACACCCGCCCAAGGAGGCGGCAATCCACCCATGCAATGGCCGAGAACAACAGAAACGATGGAAGACGGTGCGAGGAGGAGATCGCCATGCAAAGCCAGAAACCCAGAGCCAAGAGCCTTGAGTCCGGAGAGACCTCGTCAAAACAAAAGCCGAAGGAGGAAGGGGAGAACTGGACAACTCTGGAACCGAGGACGAAGCAGACAAAAGCAGTGGTGGGCGACCGGCGAGAAAAATATTACAGCCAGAACGTGGGGAAGCAGAGCGAGACATGCGCTTCCCAATTCCCTCTACCCTCATGGAGGAACCTAACTGCGTCTCCCAATAGGGGGATCCTACAGAATGACTATATCCTCAACCTGAGCAGAGATCAAAGCCCTTCATTAAGAAAACAAGTAAGGGGGCTTCCGGTGAGAGACTGTGGCGGAAGCAAAACCTCGAAGCGCGTGAGCTGCTCGCGTAAGCACTTGTTGCGACATTTTTGTGTGTTTCACGTCTTCTGCCTAAGTCCCAAACCTTCAGCTCGGCCTCTGCATTCTGTCCTGCAGTTTGGCATCCATCCTCATTGTTTTGGTTGTTGTGGCTGTGCCATGAGGGAATAGTCCGGGAATAGAGCTTGGACAGGCTGCCCAGAGAGTTGCACGTTCTCCGGCTCCCTGGATCCGGATCCCTCGGGGCGGCCACTCGGGGGAGTGGTCAGAAGTGTGGCCGGAACGAAGGGAGGAAGGAAGGGATGAAGGGAGAGGGGAAGAGAGTGACGGAGAGATAGGGAAGAAATACGACAAGAGAGAGAGGATGGAGTGCCTTGGTGCAGGGGGGGATTGGCCTGCCTCAACAGCCGGTTTCACACCAACTGGGTGGGACATACTGATGCACCGGTTTAGTGCAAGGGGTCTTCGAGGTCCCCCACCCTTGTCGCCAAACAAAAAACTGTCAAGTCCCTGAAACTGCAACGCGCGCCGGAAAAGGCACCTCCCCAACCGTTGGCCCCCCCTCCCACAGCACAACAAGCCGAAGAAGGGAGAGGGCCAGCCTTCTGCCAGGTCTGTGCAGCATGCTGTCGGTTTGCTGGACACATACACCCAATGCGGCGCCGGCTTTGCGGAGCTGAAGGCCGCCTACGCCTCCAGCGGCCGCGCCCACGAAAGCGAGCAGCGCACCCTGAGGGAGGCCTGGGCCGCGGCCAACGCAGCCATCGGACTCATGGCCGCCCAGGTCGCGGACACGGGGATGTTGCAGGAGCTCGCCACCCACGACTCCGCTGAGGCGACCTCGGCGACTGGCGATCTTTGCAACGAGACCGCCTTCATGAAGGCTGCCGTCGAGGCGGTGCGCGAGGGCCTCTTCGGGCAGACCGTGCGCCAGCTCGACACGCTCTTCACTGAGATGGCGCTGCTCTGGCAGAGGCAGGAGCTCGCCTGAGAGCTGAGAGGGAGGGGCACGAGGGCAGGGGGAGGGGCAGGGGGAGGGGGGGGGGACCGGCGCAGGTTCGAGGCGGCACCTTCGAGCCAGGAGATCTTCGACTCCGCAGAGAGGCTGTCAACTGCGGCCGAGGCCGTGTCCGCAGAGGGCACCGCCCAGGAGCCGCTCAGCTGCGGACTTTAAGCTTCGCGGTTGTTGCAAAACACCTCAACACGTCTCTTTTGTTAAGAAAAAAGACACTTGACGATGCACAGGTCATGGGCGCGATGGAGGCGTTTGCATTGCATCCCGGAGGGCTTGGCGCAGAGCAGGAACAGCCAGATGCTCCAGTCGAGCTCGGACCGCTCGAAGCGACCTGGGCGGTACGGCTATGGCAGGTACGGGGCGTACGGGAAGTACTATGGTCCCTATGGCTACCAGCCCTATGGCCCGGTGACCACAGTTCCGCCCGTTCCGCCGTTTACCACCACAGCTCCGCCGACAACCCCGCCTCCGCCATGGGTGTCGGATTCTAGGTTAGAGTCCAATTGGGATTGGCTTGTATTGTCGCTTGGAACGGCAGGGCCGCATGGTTGCTGATTCCCGCTCCCTTCCCAAGGATCTCGAGCAGCAGCACTTGCTGGTCATGGAGAACCAAACCTTTCTCGAGGAGCAAGAGAACAAGGTGAAGTTGCATGATGTGTGCATCAATTCTTAAACTTCTTAGACGTGTCCCTGCCTGTCTTTGTCGGTCTATCACACCATACCTACGTATAATCGAGAACTGAAATTGGGGGGGGGGGGGGGGGAGGGCATGTCGGGGGCACAAGGTGTTGGCCTCGCAAGAAGTGCAGAATCAGAGCCTGGTAGCCAATGGTGAAGAGCTGGACGAGGTAGTGGCGAGCATCTTGCCTCTCCAAATTATGAGCTTACAGTTGTCCAGTGTCTCGGGGTTCTGCAAAAGTCTGCAAAAAACTCGACTTCACTCGACTTGTATTGAGAAAAAAGTAAGGTATCGTGCCGCCCCCGTTGGACCCCCCGATCACGACACCGCCGCCCGGGCCGTGCGAGCCTGGTGTGGAGTTGACGGGGCCGGCGCCATGGACGCAGCGCAGGGTGCTATCTGAAGATCAAGCCCCAGCCTCCTACTGTATGGGGTTTGGGGTTGAGGTCTTAAGCCCGTAGCCCCAAAACAGAATCCCAGGGGCTCATGAAATCTGTAGCAGATGCACACAACCACCATGGATAGTACAGAACCAGCCCGGCGGACTCAGAGATCAGCCCAGCTAGGCGGGAGGGAAAAGAAGAAACATAGTCCATTGACAAGTTTGTTCCTATGCACATCCTGTGTTTCAGGGTTTCGCACCAGATAATCCATATGAGAAGCGTAGACAACAGCGGCTTTAGGCTTAGGGTCTCGGTAGTGTTCAAGAGTCTAAGAGCTGCTGAGGTGTGCCAGGAGCCCCAGGTTCCCTGCACCTTGACCATCAGCAACATGCGCTCCCGCGCGGCCTCCAATGAAACAATCTTCCCGGGCTGCGCCTTCCTCTTCAACGAGTCCCAGGCAAAGGGGGGAAGGGGGGGGGGGGGAGGGGCCTTTGAGACTGCATCTTGACAGATTTGTCCCAACGCATTGTTAACATCCAGAAATTGAGGGCCCGTTGCTCCCCACCTTTGGACAAACTCCGCGGGGTCTCCTTCCAGTCGCGCAGTGCATGCATGATTCTTCACGCTCTTTGGCTCAAGGGCTAGGCTCACGCCTCATGCCACACAGACGTAAAACGAAGTAAAACAGAGTCTCGCGTGAGAGTCAGCTCAAGGTTCACGGCACCTCAGTGATTTTTGTGGGATCTCACCTACGCGCATTGGGCCCCTAAACAGCCTAAACCATCCCCTGAACCCAACCCTCCCAAAGCCCCGGGCAGGAGCTCTTCAAGTACTGCAACGATGGCAGCGCGTATCGGGTGGTGACGGCCTCCACCTGCGACGAAGAGCCAAGCTTCGACGCCATCTTGGCAGCTTATCAGTTCGATGGGAGCAGCTGCCGCCTCGCGAGTTCCCTTGGCTTCAGCAGCCATGTTTTTGTTCAGACATACCGTGACATACCTTTCTGATGCGATGTCACATCAGGGATGTGTGTTGTCATATATGTGCTACCCGTAGCTACCCGAAAAAAACGGACACGGCAGGGCTCACTGCACTCGTCGCAGCTGCCCCCCAGCCAATCCGCCCCAACTATTCCGGACGCAGTTGCTGAGTAAACCTCCACATCGTCCTCTCGTCCCAACGTTGGCCATCCCAACTGTTCCAGGAGGTTTTGAGGCGAGATTTTGACCATGCGTCCCAGGCTCCCAGAATTTGCGAGGTAAGTGTTTCGGGAGTCTTGGGCCTCGATCAAACTGTTCCGGAAAAATATAAAAACCACGCCACGATACCGGTGCAGGGGCTGTCTCGGAGACTTAAAAACCCAAAGCTTGCTGGGGAGGCCCTGAAACGGGCTAAGTCAAGACTCCGCGGCTCAAGTGAACCGCCTCAAAAATCGTCTCCGACTTCGAAGCGCTCGTCTATCGGCCTTGATCGCTTTCGCGGCCACAAAGAGGAGCCTGGGATCCAGTGGTCACAGCGACAACTGTTTCGCGCGAGGCGAAGGTTGCCCTAGCCAGGCAGTGATGCAGAACTTCCCGCCTTCCGGTATCCCAATGGCCCAATGGCACGGACCTCACAAGGGAAGCAATACACCTTCTGGTGAAGAGAGCTGAGCACTTTCGGCCACAACCAATCTATGGGGGGTCCACTCGCTCCTTTTTGGACGGGGCCTCGCTCCCGTGACCCGCATACCATAATGCCGACACCCTCAAGTGGCAAGGGCGATGGACGTCCTCGTGAGAATTTCTGGGAGGCTCGTACGTCAGAAGGAATCCACAAGGCTATGGCAGAAGCTGCTCTCATGCCGGCCTATATGTCGTCGAACCGAGCTCGGTTCGAGCCCTGGCAATGCTGCCTCCGTTGCGGCCGGCCGCGGGCTGCTTCAGTCCCGGCTTTCCTTCCTTGTAACTCGAGATCCCTCTAAACCGAGGCTTGTTTCGCCGGTGAGGGCTTACTAATTACTACGAATAGGAAGGAAGCACATTTGTAGAAACCTGCATCAGGCATCGATGGCATGGCTGAGCTCTTCTCCGCCATCACCTTTTGGCTTAGGCCTTCAGCCGTTGGCTTGCGGGAAGGAAAAGGAGCGTAGGCCGCGTGGGCCCTGCTTTGCTGTGGGTTCATAGGCTACCTTCTTCAGTGGCACCGGAGCCTGAGTGGTGAAAGTGCCGGGGCGTGTGCATGGGCCTAGCTTCGCTGCTGCTGCGCATTTGGCTTCGCTTCGTGTTCAACCCGAGTGACCTCGTCTTCCCTTAACCGATCATCGGCTACCTGACGGCTGGAAGCTCAGCTGGAGGGCAAGCCTTGCCTGGCTGGGGGACTTGGTCTTTGTGTCACTTTGCACGGCGGCCCGGAACTTTGTGGGCCAGCGAATTCACTTCCTCGGCGCCGTGATGGCCGATCTGGGAGGTGACTATGGTGGAGTGTGGAGCAAGTGTCCCGTCTGGGATGGCTCGCCGCTGACTTGGCGCGCCTTCAAGCGCGAGATGGGCTGGTGGACTTCCTCGCTGGACTTGGAAGGCACGAGAAAGTTCAACTTAGCAGCCCGATTCCTGATGAGACAAAGCGGAACTGTTCGCCAGCGAGGAGAAGAGTTCAGCCCCGACGAGCTGGAGTACCAGAAGGCGGTCAAGGCGAAAGACCCTGAGACCGGCGAGGATGTCACGATCGTCGAAGAGGACCTCTTGGCCGGACTTAATAAGCTTATGGCTGCCTTGGAAGGCCTGAACGGCCAGTCTGTTTTGGACCGGCGAGGGGAGCTGAGGACCCAGTTCTACTTGCACCTGGCGCGACGTCCTGGAGAACGAGTTGCTGACTACGCCACTCGGTTCAGGACGGTTGTCAGTGATATGAGATCAGAAGGTGTCAAGCTCCCCGACACGGAGGTGGGCTGGTTCTTCAAGGAGAAGCTCGGCCTGGATGCTCTTCGACGACAGCTGTTGGACACTGCCCTTCAGGGTGCCGAGGCATATGGGACTATTGAGTCCGAGTGCCTTCGACTTTTCCGTGACCTTCATCTGCAAGACCCGCTTTACCGGAAGCTTGAGAAGGGCAGTGGGAAATTAAGTATCAGGAGAATGTTTGCATCGGCGCCTTCGGCAACCCCATCTACTGCTGCAACCTCCTCGAATACTTCTTCGCGGCGTCCCTCGACTTTCTCTACTGCAAGTTCCTTGGCTGGCTCGCGGAGGGGACCCCCGAGACAGGTGCATGCGACCGAGACGGAGGAGCCCGAAACCCTTGATGAGACGGCCGTGGACCAGACAGAGGACGAGGCTGCGGCGTCGGACCAGGCTGGCGAGGGCATCTCCTTGGAAGAGGTGCTGCAGACAGAGGTGCAGTGCTTGGCCCAGGAGATAGCGCAGGCTGAGGAGGAGGGCATCGACCCTGCGTTCACCGAGGCCTTGGAGACGGAGATCGAGGCGTCGGCGGAGGCTTTGGTGAGTATGAGGGAGGCACGCGTGAAGCTGGCTGAGGTTCGCAAAGATAGGGGCTACAAGGGCCCTGCGTTGAATGCCTCAGCGGCAGCCAGTGGAGGCAAAGGCCGGGGCAAAGCAGCGATAGCCGCCAAGAAGGCGTCTGGCAAGCATCTTTGTTTCGACTGTGGTCTCCCAGGCCATTGGAGCGGCGATCCAGAATGTACCAAGCCTGGGGCTGGTTTGGGCCGGGCCAAGGGCAAGGCCGCGCCGGCAAAGCAGGTGCGCATTGCTGAGGCTTGCGGAGATGCCAACCATACCGTGGCGGAGGTTGAGACCTTGAACACTGGCGAGAATGAAGTCCTCATGGCCATGTCCCTCTCGGCGGCATTGCGGGCTGGCAGTTCTGGGCAGACTTCCGAAGCTTTGGTTACGAGCGCGCTGGCAAAGGACAAGGCGCTGGTTGGTGCTTTGGACTCGGCGTGCAATAGAACTTGTGCCGGTGAAGATTGGATTCAAGGCTATTTGCTTGAGTTGCAGAAGGCCCCGCCCGAGATCCAGGCCCTGGTCAAGACCGTTGAGGAGCAAGAGAACTTTAAGTTCGGCAACGGCGGCACCCTTCCGAGCATGACGCGCTACCGGGTGCCAGCAGTGATCTCCGGGCACTTGGTTGGGATATGGATCTCATGTGTGCCTGTTTCTTCCCTAGGCTTACTTCTCGGTCGAGATCTTTTGGATGGCCTCGGCGGCGTGCTGGACTTTAGCCAAAGAACTTTGACGTGCAAGTTGTTTGCCAACCGGCCGCCCGTGGCCTTGGAAAGGTTGGCCGCTGGACATCTCTCTCTCGCCTTGATCCCTGAGCAGTGGCCGGCCGTGACCCAAGGTCGTTGGAGAAAACTGGGAGCCGACGGTGTCCTCGAGTGTTGCATTGGTTGCGCTGAGTGGGCTGCTCACTTGTTGCACATGAACCCCAGAAGAGATTCCGAAGATGCACCCCACAGCCACAACATGACCGAAGCAACCCTTGAGCTTGGGAGATTGGCTTTTCATGCTGTTCTTTGCGCTTCGGCCCAAAACTGCGAGATGACTTTTGCTGAGCAGCCACAGCCCTCGACTTGCACCACGGCCTTTGGCCCCACGGTGGGCAATGGCGGCTCCGAGGCCTTCGGTGGCTCCCTTGAGAACAGCTCGTGTGGAACCTCGCGACCTGGATCCCGACGACTTGGTCGGCGTCAGGCGGCGGAGGATGATGTTGCGAGCGGTGGCAAGATTCGATTGGAGCCGAGAAGGTCTACGACTATGGTGCGTCAAGCATCCCGAGCTGCGCTGGTTGCCATTTCCCTATCCCTCTGTGTCCTCGGTGGAGCAATGGCGGCTGCAGGTCGATGGCATGGTGGCCAATGGATGCTACCCTCGGAAGTGGCTGGGCCGAGGAGTGTTCAGTCAGGGGACCTTGGCTTCTTTGACGTGGTTTCGCAGCCGCGTCGGCTTGAAGTTTGCGTTCCTGGAGGATCCGGTGCTGAGTGGGATGCTGGCTGCGCGCTGGCAGCCAGGCCGGATGAACCGCATCAAGAATGCAGCCATCAAGGAGGAAGCAGCAGCATTGGCGCGCGAGACAGATCGACTCCGGGCAGCCCGTACGCTGCTTGGGCCAAAAGGGGGGATACCCACGCTCAAGGCCGACTTGTTGAAGCTCGCAGCCCTCTTGCACACCGAGGTGGCCGACAAGGACACGGTGAAGACCATCAGAGACAAACTGCGACCGCTGGTGGCCGATCTTTGTGCAAAGGTTCCTTTGCCGGCGACCTCTTCCATCGACTCCGGCGAGCACTCCGAGCTGGCGTTGGCGGGACCTTCGGCACGACCCTCGACGAACGCATCGTCAGGGACTATGTCACCTGGGCCATCCGGGACAGCAACCGCGGCCGCTACCTCGACAAGCAGCCCACTCAACGATGCCATGACTGTTGCCATGCTGAACAATCACCTGACCCAGGCCATGGAGCAGCGTTTCCAGGAGCTGGGACACCGCCACGAGGCCATGCTCAACCAGGTCATGCACCACATCATGCAGATGAACGCGAGCCAGAACCGCGACGAGGACATGATGAACAACGAGTGGGAGCTGGCCCCGCAACCGGCCTCGGACCCTCGCCTCAGCCAGCTAGGATGCCTCGAGGTGAACCGGGACGACCTTTGAAAGCCGGGCAGCGCCAGCTCATTCGACAAGCGTGGGACAAGCACCGCCGAGACCAGATGCTGATATCTTGCTCCCCTCGTCAGGTGCGTCAGGCTATGCTAACTGAGGTGGCCATGCAGTACCGCAAGGCGATCCACGATGCCTTTGTCATGGAGATCCCTCCGCTGTGCACGGACGCAGTGGGCTTTAACGACTCGGTCGGGCGGTGTGCCAGAACTCGTGGGCACATCACCGGCGCTAACCTTGGGCCGGAAGCTGGCTGGGATTTCCTACAGCCTGGCCACCGACAGCAAGCTCTACGACTACTGCAACGCGAAAAGCCTTACTTCGTGACGATGGCCATCCCCTCGGAGCCGTGGATGTTTTCTTCTGTTGCCCTATCTTCCCGGGATCGCCAACGTCAGCAGCTACAACACCTTTCGACCTCTGCTCGCTTCGCCGTGCGCGTCGCCAAGCAACAGCTCGGGGGGGGGAGACATTTCGTGATCGAACACCCGCCGGGCTCTCTGCTTTGGCGTCTTCCTGGTGTTCGTGCACTCATCGCGGACCCTCGCTGCCGCTGCTTTGGGCTGGATCTGGGCCGTTTTGACTCGCAAACCCTTGGACATCGACGAGTACGGTTTCCCGCGACTCAACTTTTGACTTCTAGCCAAACCGTGGTGCATCAGTTTCGTGGCAAGCCTGGCGAACTTCCAGCTCAGCATGCGCGACGTGAAGTGAAGTCATACCCCCAGGCCTTCTCCCGAAAACTGGTGGCGGCTATGGAGGAGGAATTTGACTGGGAGACCTGTCAGCTGAAGGGTGCAGTCGGTGGCCATGAATGTCTCGAGTTGGTCGGATCCAGCGGGGCAGTGGACTTCGTGCGCGAGGCCTTGTCTGAGGAGCTCCAGGTGGGTGAGCAGAGCGAGTCGGAGGACGAGCCGGAGACCAAGTTCGTGGGCGAGATCACGCCAGCTATCCGGGCGGCGGTCAGGCGAGTGCACGAGGCTACTGGACATCGCGCGCCAAAGAGATTGGCCCGCGCGCTACTGCTTTCAGGTGCCCCTCCTGCGGCAGTTCAGGCTGCCCGGGAGCTCAAGTGCGATGTGTGCTTGGAGCGCAGCCGTCCAAAAAAGCCGCCGTGTGGCTAGCTTGCCTGCTCCGCGAGCCGTTGGGGAGCGGGCTCACCTAGACCTGCTGATTGCGAAGGATTCCATTGGCACGCCTTTTGTGGTAGCTCATGCCACCGACGCGGTCTCCAAGTACCAGCTGGCAGCCCGCATCCCAAACAAGTCTTCAGCTGCGGTGATTGACTTCATGATGCAGTATTGGTGGCCCATTCTAGGTGCGCCGCGGCAAATTATCGCGGACCAGGGCCGCGAATTCATCAGTGCAGAATTCCAAACCTTTTGCTCGGCTCACTCCGTGCACCTCTAGCACTGCGCCGTGCAGGCGCCGTGGCAGAACAGCCCGGCCGAAAGATCAGGAGGCATACTCAAAACGCTGGTGGCCGCCATCGTCACACGTCCTGGGAGACCGAGAGATCTCCAATGCCATCGGAGAGGCTTGCTCGGCCTATAACGCAGATGTCAATGAAGAAGGCGTGACGCCGCTTCAAAGCGTCACAGGTCGACAGCCCTCCAGTCAGGGCTCAGTCCTCCACAATTTCTCTGGAAGGCTGGCGGAGCACGGGTTGATAGATGCTGAGCCGTCCCTCCAGCAGCGAATGGCTTTGAGAGAAAGCGCCCGCATCGGCATGATCAGGCTCCATTATTCGAAGGCCATTCGCCGTGCTGAACTTGCTCGAAGTCGAGAGCCGACCATTTCCCGCTCAATACAGCCAGGTGACACTGTGTGTTTCTGGAGGGCTCAAAAGCTAAATCGCCGGGGCGACCCGCGGCTGTCGACTTCCTCCAGACGGCGCAGGCTGGAACTCCGTCGTTGGCACGGGCCGGCAATCGTGTTGGCTCTGGAGCAGAGTTCAGAGGACAGCGCCGTCACCAACGCCTTTTTGTCCTTCAAAGGTCAAGTCACGAAGTGTGCGCTTGAACATGTGCGCCCGGCCTCTACGCTTGAAGAGCTGTCCGCTGGCGCCTGGGAAGAGGCAATCAAGGAGCTGACTTCGACTGGCCGCACGCCTTTGGAGGACCTTGGTCAGGCGGCCAGTGATGCCGAGTCTGATGAGAGAGAGGATCCCGAACTTCCCGAACCACCAATGCCTGGCGCGGTTGCTCCCTCCACCTTGGCAGCGCCACCCTTGACCGCTGCGCCTGGGACGCCAGTGGGTCACTTGGTGCGCCGCCCCGTGATGCAGAACGCCCTTCGACGAGCTCAGGGACAGCCGCTGGCTGTGGAGTTGGGAAGGCAAGCTCTTGTTCGAGGCCAGCCGGCCGACTTTGCCGCCGAGCTTCGTTCGTTGATGGAGAGAGGACGCAAGCGCAGCGCCAGCCAGAGTGTGGAACCATCTCTTTTGCTTTCGGAGGAGCCGGTGCCTTCTTCGCGACGGGTGTCTCCTACCGCGAGCGCTGGTGTTGCGGATCCTCCTCGACTCTCTACAGAACCACCTGGTGATCAAGCTTCAGTTGTTGGTGCTGCTGATCCCCATCGACCTTCTATAGAACCACCTGGTGATCACGTGTCAGTTGCCGGTGCTGCTGATCCCCATCGACCTTCTACAGAACCACCTGGGTCCATTAGCGCTGCATCTTTGCCGGCTGCTCTGGGTCCTGTAGTTCTGAATGATCCGCGGTTGGGGGATGCGCGTTCGGCCTTTGAAGCCTTGACCTTAGATCACGAACAGCTTCTTCGCTTAGCTCAAGGTGGCGCAGATCTTCATCCACTTCTACAAGTTCAGGCTCAAGTTGAATGTGACCGCTTGCAGGGTTCAGTGTCCGAGAAGGCCCCTGACCACGGAACCTGGGATGGACGTTGGAGCTTACCTTCGAGTTCGCAGCATGAGCTTCTTCAGCGACTTGGTGCTCCTTTACCCGCAGGACAACCTGATGACGTTCATGAAGTTTGTGCCGCTGGTGGGCGAAAGGAGAAAATTTGGTCCAAGATGTCCCCTTCAGAAAGGACGCTGTGGAAGGAGGCCGCAGTTAAAGGCTGGTCTGCTTACGTGGACAATGACGCTGTCAAAGTGTTGTCGTTGCAAGAGAGCCTCGCCGTGCGCAAGGAGTTGGCGCGCAAAGGAGAGCTGGATCGAATCATGACGCCGCGCTTCGTCTTGACCGATAAGAACGACGGCCTTAGGACAGAGGGTGCCAACTTGCCCCCAGCCCCGAGTGCTAGGTTGGTGGTGCCTGGCTTCAAAGACCGGGCGAACCTTGAAGGTGAGATTCGTCGTGATGCCCCGACAGGAAGCCGTTTGAGCCAACACCTTCTACTTTGCTTGGTGGCGTACCACAGCGCTACTTGGAACCTCTTGGCGGCCGACGTTAAGTCGGCTTTCTTGAAAGGCGATCCATTCGTCACCCGAGAGTTGTATATCGGCCCCACCAACGAGAAGACGGGCCCTGAAATTCCATTACCTCGAGGTTGCTTGGCAAAAGTCCTGAAAGGCGTGTTCGGACTCGCCGACGCGCCGCGCCAATGGTGGCTAAAGCTGGCCAGCTCCCTCGAGCGGCGCGGATGGGTTCGCTCGGCACTGGACCAAGCGGTCTGGTTTCTTTGGAGCGGGCCAGAGCGAAAGACTTTGTGCGGGATGATCATAAGTCATGTCGATGATTTGCTGCTTGGTGGCAATGCCTTGGCTGAGAAGTCCCTGTTGCAGGTGGGAGACGAGCTGGGGTTTCGTGAGGTCACCCGCAACTCCTTCACTTGGTGCGGCAAGTTCTTTGACAAGAAGCCTGACGGCTCGGTCACCCTGAGCATGAAGACACGAGAACCTCCGCGAGGTCACACTTTCTAAGAGCAGGCGGTCCGATGTGGCTGCTCTGCTGACACCCTTTGAACATCGCCAGCTTAGGGCTGTCTTGGGAAGTCTTCAGTGGTTGGTGGCCCAACTTCGCTTCGACCTTTCCTTCTGCGTGTCATCGCTGCAGGGAGAGTCTCCGCCTACGGTGGGAACTTTGCTGAGAGCGAACCAGGCCGTCCGGGAGTTCCAGAAGGACTGCAACTTTGAGCTGGTGTTTCGCGGGGTGAACCCGTACAAGGGCGGCCTGATGGCCGTTGCGGACGCTGCTTTGGGCAACGTCGACTTGAAGGGCTCGTCTCAGGAGGCCCCGCTCACCAAGGTGTACTCCCAGGCCTGCTACTTTATCATCTTGGCTGATGAGGGCTCATGGCAGGACGCACGGGATCGTTCAACATCTTGGACATGAGGTCGCACCGCGTCCCTCGAGTGTGCCGCTCCTCGTACGCAGCGGAAACGCTGAGCACAGAGGAGGCCTTTGATGTGGGCCAGTTGTGCCGAGGATTTCTTGCAAGTGTCCGGGGACTTCCCTTGCACAAGTCGACCCTGGACTCTTCGCTTAACTCCGTGCCCCTCTGCACCGTCGTAGACGCCAAAGACGTATTCGACAGGTCCAACAATGACTCCAACAGTTTCGGCAGCCAGAAAAGTCTAGCTTTTACCATCGCCTGGCTCCGCAGTGTCCTCAGAAGGCCCAACACCAGTCTGCGTTGGACAAGCACGGAAAATATGTTTGCAGACGGCGGTACCAAGGACATGGATCCCACGCACATGCGCAGCATCATGGCAGCTGGCAAATGGTCAGTCACCTACAGCCCTGCTTTTGTAAAGCAGGTGTCAAAAGGACAGCGCAAGCGCGCTGCGCCGACTTCGACTGCTGAGCTCATGGGGGAACCATTGGAACCTGGCGATCCTCTGCTCGGCCACCTCCTGAAGCTGGGTGAACAACGTGGCTGGCATCATCGCGCTGACATGGGCATCAACGTGGCGTACGACGCCAAGAGTTTTCGCTCTCCTGAACCGCGGTTTTCACCGGCCCAGTTCCCACTTAGAAGCACCTTTTGTCGGCTTGAGCTACAGACGGGCCAGGTCATGTGGCGATGTCTCGAGCGGGACTGTCGTTACCAAGATTTGGCAAACCAGCACGAACTCCTTCCTCACAGAGCTCCAATCCTCGTGACTTTCTTCACCAAGGATTCTGTACAGTGATCATGTCCATCGAAGCCTGCAGTTTCCGCCCTTTCGCAACAAAAGAAATAAATACGGATGTAGAAACCTGCATCAGGCATCGATGGCATGGCTGAGCTCTTCTCCGCCATCACCTTTTGGCTTAGGCCTTCAGCCGTTGGCTTGCGGCAAGGAAAAGGAGCGTAGGCCGCGTGGGCCCTGCTTTGCTGTGGGTTCATAGGCTACCTTCTTCAACATTCAAGATGAAATGCCTCGATTTCGCGAAAGCGTTTCGCTCCTGTGGTCTTGTGCGGTTTTCACCGTTTGGGGTCTCAGCCGAAACATGTGCTACGAGATGTGTCTTGATATTATGGGTAAATGCTTGCGAGTGTCATTGAGGTAATGCTGGAGCTGCAGTGTAGCTGATCATGCTGCCCAGGTTGCGTGAAGGAGAATGGTGCCAGATGTCCGAACCCGTGGAATGGCACGGGAAGCGACACACGGGCAGCTGCACGGCTGGACTATCTGACTATCTCTAACACCCCCAGCTCTCGGTGTTTTTTTTGTGGCTTTTGTTTTGTTTTTCTTCTGTCGGAGCCAGACGTTTCTCCACGTTCCAACCTTGAGGCCGTCACCTTCACAGTGTCACCGTCGGCTTGCGCGTACATTGTGCAGCAGCCCACCCAGCTTCGCTTCGGCAACAACACGGAGGAGCTCACCATAACGCCAAGAGCTCGGAGCAGGAGGGAGGAGGAAGGAGGAGGGTACGAGTATCCAAGTATACGAAGTTGTCCTTTGGAGTCGAGGTCTGAGAGGCTCCCCACACCGGTGGCGACAACGACAACGACAGCGACTTCGTCCTGGGTTAAGGTTGTATGATAAAGCTGCAAAAAATGGCCTTGAGAGTGCCAGGGCTGGAGTTGCTTGCTTTTGTAAGACTCGGGAGTGGCGCTGACAGCCGATGTGTTTGCAGTAATTGTTCGACAATTGCTACAATGTTCAGGTACTGAGCTCCTGCACTAAACTGAACTGCCGTGCTGGGTGTGGGTTTGGCTGTGCGTGCGCGTGTGCGTGTGTCTCCCTCTCTCTTCTGCAACGGGACCGTCGAATGGCACAGGAGAGCTTCCCTGGGTAGAGGCCTCCTATGGCTTCGATTCGGATTTTTTTGGGATGTTTGCAGCGGAGCCTCTGAAGGTCCCGGGCGCACTTGGGAGGCAAAGTGGAGAGAGAGTTGTAAGTTGTAAGGCGACTGGTGCAAGCACAAGCATGAGCACTTCGGAGCCGGACGTGACGACTACCGGCACCACCGGCACTACCGTCACCACCACAGAGCCTTCTACGACTGGGGCCAGCACTACCACGACCAGGAATCGAAATTGCCCGTGTCGGCATTGGTGTAAGTGGGTGCCACCCTATTCCATGAAGCTGGGCTGGCGCTTTCTATTTTTTTGCTGGTGGTGACTTGCAGGTTAGGGGAACTAGATTGACCTAGATCCTCGGATTCAGGAAGTGGGTGCCAGAGTGCATCGGCTGTCCTCAGTGTTGGGGCTGCCCACCTTGCTGACATCCATACGGCGATACACGGCTGTGGCAATCGGAGACCTGCCTGAAAAGGGCCGGAAAGGGACAAAAGGAGGGGTTGTCAGTGTTTTGGGGGTAGCTATACCATCCGGAAGTCGGAAGGGCAGGGGGAGGGGAGGGGGGTCGGAGTTTTGCTGGAGTTCCTGGGCTTGCAACCCGCGTACGGGCCCCGTCAAGCTCCGAGACCAGAGCTCCTTCTTCAATTTTGAAATGGCAGGATGTTGTAAACCCGCAAGCGGAGAGCACTGAGTAGTTGCATGTGCCCTAAATGGCCCTAACAGGCACGGACGGGTCCTCGAGAGGACGGCGGCGACCCCTCTGAGTCGTCGGAGATGCGTTAACTTCAGCTTCCGGATCTCGGCAATGCCCGAGGACCTCTTGTATTTTTCAGAATACTTCTGGAGCGGAACTACAGCCGATATGATGGCAACACCTGTATATATTGCACCTTATCTTGGAAGGGGGAAGAGAGAAGCCAGAACCCCAAGCTTTGCGGTTTGTGTTTGTAAGCCTTCCCTACTAAAATCTTGCCCCAAAGCCTCCCAAGAACTTCTCACCGTCTCGAACGGCCCCAGTCGAGTCTAAAAATTGAGGCCTTCGCGACGCATTAATTCGAGCGTGAAGATGCAAGACGCTTCTCAGAAAGCACCGGAGAAAGTACCGACAATGGTCAAAATGTGTGTCCGCCTGTTTCTGCACGACTTACTGCACCCTGGTTCAGATGCGCCAACCAAGAACGCAGAAGTGTATCACAACGCGCCAGGTCTCGGGGAAGAGCTTGGTTTGTTGCCAGCGTGTGAGACATCGCGTGCACAATAGTGCGACGCAACCTTGAATTCGCTTAGGCTCCTGGAGTACGGCGCTAGGTGCATTCCGGTGCAATCCGGTCCCTTCATGGCACCCCGGGAGCTGCTTCTCTGGCACTTGTGGCTGCTGCTTGCCGTGCGCCCGTTAGCAGGATGGCTTGATGTTGATCTGATGTTGAGACGGAACGCGTTCGTAGCTGCGTTCCACAGCTGCGCTCGCTTACCGGCCATGTGGACATGCAGCTTCCCGCTCACCGCTTGCTCCATGGAAGACGGCACGACGAGGCCTTTGTGCGCTGTGGCACCGCCACCTTGGCAACGCTTCTCAGCTGTCGCGGGCTACAGAGATAGCTGCCAGAAGCCCTCGGTGACTGGGCGAAGGTCTCCGGCCGTCCCAAGACACCGTGTTGCGGTCACCCTTCCACTGTCCAGCCCGGGAGCCTTCCACTGTCAGGCCCTCGAGGGGCCGAACACGTCGGGTTTAGGGCCCTGGGGCCCTGATCAAAACAAAACCCTGTGACACCAATTCGACTGCAAACCAAATTGCGCCCATCTAAAGCTCGCGTTTCTTTTTGCCTACACTCAAGCAGTGGTCTCAAGGTTGGTCGGGGTGATCTTTCGGGCGTGAATGCTGGCAAGCAATGCAGCCGCGAGGTTGAGGTATGAGACCCTGACATGCTGGAGGCCACTAGTAGGCCACTTGCAGCTGTTCTGTGTTGGAAGCCTTACGCACTCCTGGACACGCCTATTTTTATGCACTCCTGGACACGCCTATGTCGTGGAGAATTGGCGTGCAACCGTGCAACAAGGAGTTTCATCCTCATCATGACATCTCTTCTAAAAGTTGCAAACGCACAGGAAAATCAACACAGCTTCAGAGCTTTCAAGTTGATCTATGGGGCCTTGACAGAAGCCTTGCTTAAGCTCTTAAATTGAATGGCTGAAACCAAGGTAGTCAGCTGAAACAGGCATATGGGAGTTTCCGGTAGCAAGGCACCCCTAGTATAGACTTCAAAGTCAAAGTAGGGAATAAGGACCCCAATAGGGTACCCCTAACATCGGAAGCTCCCAATGTCGGCGTGGAGATTGCAGGACATGAGAGTGTTGATGGAATGTTCACAGAAGATGCCGCAACGCAGTAGCTTACATGTGTCTGACTGCCTGCTGTGGCTCAAAGGGTCCTGAACCCTCAGAGGCTGAATCAGCCTCTGAGCCTATCCAATCTATATAAACACGCTTCTTTGAAGCAATGAAGGGCAGGCGTCCTGCTTCACCCTCACGGACGTGACTTTGCTCGAAAGGAGGATACCTGTAGAAAGACCTGCGAAGTGAAAAGAAAGCCTTCAACACAGATCCCTGATTCTGGAGCGGCGAAAGATTCTGCAGCACAGGGTCGGATGTAGTGCAACGGCATACATATTTCAACACACCCAAGACTCTAGGTCTCTAGGTCTAGGTGCTGCAACGTGGAAGTTCTCGTGCAAGGTACATGTACTTCTCCGTGCTGGTGCTGATTCATGGAGGAGTGGCCTTCAAGGTCACATCAGCCACCCGAGTTTTCTCCAGTCCAACGAAACCTCCGCTGCCGAAGTGGAGGCCTTTCCTTTGTCACCTGGTATATCTTCTGTAGCTACAACAGTCATCATGATAATCTTCCATGTTGTTTTCAAATGTCTTTCGGGACATCCGATGTCTAGGGACACAGGATTCGGCAGAGCGCGTGGCGCCTCAACTGCTTGAAGAAAGTGTCAAAAGCTAGCACAAGGACTTAGATGGAGCCTGGCGAGCAGCAGCTTGAACCCGCTAACCCTTCCTTCAGTTCATGGGCATGACACCCACACAATGCTGTGGATCTCATAATATCACCACAAATATGCGAGATCATGGTTTTTCCAGGTGCTGCAGTTTTGCCATAAAGTGGCGACCACCTAATGATTAACACCTCCCGACCCCTGACAAAAATAGCCCCTAACTTTTTCTCCATATACAGGACAATGTCTTCGCTGGGGTAGGAGTCGTATGCATTTTTCTGCGCGCCAGGGGAGCGCTCCAGCAGGACATAACGGAGTTGTAGTGTGTTAGGTTGGATTTTGCAATCCAACTGGAGCCCTGGAGCCGTGAAGGATGTGAGAAGAGTATGTGGTTGATGTAGGTCCCCCCTATATTCCTTTACGTTCTGCGTGGCTCACCGTTCCCTAACACGGTCGTGAGGCTGACAAGATCATCACGGCCGTCGACCACTGCTTGGCGCAACGAATGGTGGAAGCGGAAACGGATGATTGGAAGCTCGCAAGGCTGAACAAGGCCTCGACGTTGGTGTTGAGAGAGTAGGGATGAGACACAAAACGCGCGGAAGTTGTTGCATGCTGGGGAGCAGGAGTGCAAGCACAAGTGATGTGATGGTTGCATACGGTTGCTTCTACACACGGCAGCTTGCTAGCTTCACGTTAGTTCAGAGCGCTGGCAATCAATCTCGTGCTCCCGGGCCTTCATCGGCTTGCTTGCAACTTACAAGTGGAACCTGCCAACAAGCAGATTTTGGTGTTCCAGAATCGACCCCCCCAGCAACGCTCTTTTGTGGTGGGATGCCACATAAATAGCACAGCACCTGCCCGAGGCAGGCCGGCAATGCCAGGAACTGTTAGAACAAAGACTTGACAAGAATTGTAACGTTTTTTTTTGCGTCTGTAGGTGACATGCTCTTTTTCTTGTCCCCGGGATCCTTAAGAAGGTGCGGCAAGCGGAAGTCATCACACGCCTGGTGCGGGCCAAGGCGGCGAGTTCTAGCGATTCTAGCGTCTGTAGTCGGCAGAAATCCGAAAGCCCTTCCCTCCCAAAAACCATGCCCCTCACCCCCACCTGGAGTCAAAATTGTCGTGGTGATCTATCAGGAAGAATTGAGCTTCATAGGGACTTCATGCACGTTCTGCAAAGCCACGGCATATTCAAAGAATGCAGTGAGTCTCGGGCACTCAACAGTGTAGTAGCAAGCGCACTGCATAGACGCAACCGAGAACTTTCAAGATCAGTGTCTAGGATCGGTACCCTGAAAACGAGCTCCCAGAATACAAAACTCTTCAGAAGAATTCCGGTGCCTTGGGGGCTTGAACTCTGAAGATCGCTCGCACCTGTCGATACCTTCAAACTACCACGTGAGGGAGCATGCAGGGGAGGAATTATCATTCGAGGTTCCGTTCTAAACGAAGTGTTGGGAGAGGGGGAACCTACATTCCTCCGAGTTCATCCCCTGTGCGTTTCTGTCTTGAGGGATTTGTCCAGTTCAGATCATGTGTGGATGGACAACAGGACCCTTTTGAGATCTTCCTTTCGAGAGGTCTGTGTGTTGCGCAAGCTCGTAGAAGCGTTGCCTGCTAGATACCCAGGGATCAGAGAGGAGTACGCGGTTAGTGCTTTTATACCTGAAGCCTGGAACTCCTCAAGGGACTCCCCTTCCTTGGGGCAGATAAGCCTCAGCGAGTTCGGCACCGGGTGGAACGATGATGAAGCCACCGTGGAGGCCGTGAAGATGGCAGGTCGACAAGCCGCGGAGGAGCCTGACAAACATGACAAACTCAAAGGCTTTGCTTGTTGTGAGTGCGGGTCTTTCTGTTTGCTCGGACGGTTGTCGGCCAAAAAGCACTGCGGCAATGTAGAAATGCCTACGCTGCATGCTGGGCCCGTCTTCTTTGGAAAGTCTGGTCTGCAAGTTGACACCCGTTCTTTTGAAGGACACACTGATGTTGACCGCTTAGTGCAGGGTTGTTACATAGATTCTGTATCCCTAGAAGGTCTTGCAACCTCCCAAGTCTACATGCACGAAGCCCCTTCCAAAGCCGGGGAGAGGACAACTTGCCCTTTGGCGTAGGGACTGAAAGGGATGGCAGAAGGCCCTCCACTCACCCACTGGAGACAAGATGAGGAGATCGCCCACCGAGAGTTCGAGGCTTCAATCCGCGAGACCCTGTCGGGTTCCCATCTCAGCCAGGCCACGGGTGTGCCCGTTAAGCGTTGTTGGTTTGTGAGGGGAGGGTCCGGGGGTTCTCTTCTCTTGTTTCAGAGCGTCACGATGATCTGTCCGCTCTTGCTTTCTCTCTTTACTCTAACTCTCGCCTCTTCCGCCAGTCATTTTGCGGCGTCGCAAACATGTTTGGATGATTGTATCCATGTTGGGGTTTGGGGCGTGCTTTTGCTCTCCGCTGTGCTTCTGCTGGGGACCCTGTCTTGCTCGTCTAACAAGCACAGAATGCGAGTCGCCAGCTTCAGGCACAAGTACCCTAAGTCCTGAAACATGTCTTGGGAGTTAATCAGTCACGGGCCAATGTGTCCTTTCCGACGTTGCACCTACCTTGCCTGCGTCAGCTCGAGACCCTAAACCCTAAACCCTAAACCCTCGGGTGGCAAAAAAACCCTAAACCACTGTTCTTGCTGTGAGGGATTCCCCTTGCTGGCTCTTGTGCGAAGCCACTCCGGGCTTTAACCTGTGGCCATTCTGGGGCTCAAGGCGGCTAAGGTTTAGGGCCTTTAGGGCATGAAGCAGCTTCCAGGTTCAAAAGGGTTTAGGGTTTAAGGGTAATATGCACATAAACCCGTGCAGAAAACACACTACATCCCACCTTAGAAACGGTGTCTGTTTCAAGGCAGCGGTGGAAGAGTTTGCAGCCAAGATGAAGCTGATGGCCGAGATGTGTCTCGGCTACTTCTGCACGGATTGAGATGTCCAGAAATGGGGTCTCTACAACGCCGCTCGCATATTGCAAGTCTGGCATCAGAAGTAGACTTGGGCAACATGACCCTTTATGCCTGCTTTGGGCCTCTGGCTGTCTACGGGCCAGAACATGCACCCTGCTAACACTGTGGTCAAGTGCGGAGCCCCCTTACGACTCATTGATTCATGGTGCCTCCCATGCACCTATATGCCGGATTTTTTTTGAGAAACTGGGCTCCCTCTTTGGGGGGAGGAGCCCTCCATACAAAGCTGTTTTCTAGAATCATGACCATGATTGAGAACGGCCCTCACATGTCGAGTCGCGGTGGCTTCTTTACGCAGACTCTTCTAGGGCAAGCAAGAAATCTGCGTCTTCTGTTTTAGGAGAAAGTTCAGAATCACAACAGTAGGATCCCCACCCAGAGTCAATTCTCGCAAAATCGTGAATCGAAAAGCAACCAGATGGCTCGAGGTTCAACCTATCTGGGCAGATGACATGCGTTGTATAGAATACGAATTCAGGCAAAGCTGGCTGAAAGTCAGCTCCGCAGTAAAAGGCACTGGAGCAGTGGGAATCTCCACCCCAGCAACTCAAGGCAGAGGGGGATGTTTGGAAGTCTCAAATTTTTCATCTAGTATCATCAAAAGAGAATCAGCAAACGGGGCGAAGTGAAGAGCATAGGAATCCCCACCCTGCCCCCTCCCCTGCCTTAAAAAAATGCAGATCACTCCTAAAAACAGCTTTGTCGCGATGGGGGCCTCGAGACGAAAATCCCTTCAACAACAAACCCAGATTGCCTCCCACCGCTCTCGTTTGTGAGCAGGCCTCAAGCATTGGACACAAGAAAAGATGCCCAGGTTGCCCAAAAAGGAGATGCCGGATTGCCTTGGGGGTACCTCCTACTGCGCCGAGCTGAGGTGTGGAAAGGGCCAAGAAGGGAAGGAGCTCATGAAGGAGGAGCTCAGCATCATGAAAAGCAACAGTGAGATGTCCACGATGGAGTCTTGGGCCTGTTTTGTGAAGCTACCCAAGAAGACACAGACGCACAGCATCCCCTTTCTGATGAAAACACCAACAAAACCAGGCCCCATAGAAACATGTAGAAGCGCCGACAATTTCTGAAAATAGACCCTACAAACAATATGCAGTTGACACTGCAACCGTCCCCAACCTGGTCTGATCTTTCAACCCCTGCCTTGTCTGTGAAGGCACTTGGGCACTGGTCCTTGTTGCATCACAGTTTCGCGCTTTCGTTCGGAACCTAGCTCTCACAAGGATATTGCAGTAGAATGTTGTCAAGGCTAATTGCAGCAAGGGATTGGCACAATGGTTGCCAGCCCAGCTTTTAGGAAGCTATCTTGGTGCTCATGACTGCTGGATACTTACCCTGCCATGGAGATGGTGACCTTAGCGGATGGTCCCAGGCACGTGTCAAGCATTGATGATCTTCTGAAGTCAGTTGCCGTTCAGAAGCTACAGAGTCATGTCCATTGGAGCAACACCTGCGCCATATCATTATCTGCATCCCTGGATCCTGTAGCTGGCTGGTAAATTCCGAATTTGTCCTAGGTTGGGTCTGAAATCTTCTCCTTTGTCGATGGGATGTGCGAGCTTGATCACGTTGCCAATCCAAAACCTTTCGCCAAGAAGCGCCAAGAGGAGGCATAGTTCTTCAGCATATGCCCTCATGGAATTCCCTGTCCAATTTGTACGTGAAGTAGAGGGCCAAACCGTGTATTATTTGAGTCTTAGGAATCGACGATGGCGCACGAAATGGCCACCTACGTTGACGAGATGTGCCAAGTTCAGGTCATCCCAGTCCCAGGGCTTGAGGGCCTTGAGTTTGGCGATGGCTCAAGGTTGTATTCTGGCCCAAATCACCGCTTAGATGACAGCGCAATGGCTCTGTTCCACAGAAGTTTCGAGCTGCGGGTTTCGGGCTTCCGGGTTTAGAACTTCGGGCTTAAAAGCATGGTGGGGCCTTGAACTTGTAGCGATGTTCATCCGAATCTGTTGTGGGGTTCTGAGTCTCTGAAGTTGTCTTAATTGCTGTGTAGATGCGTGCAGATATGCAGCTACCTTGCTTGTATTGCAACTCCATATTTGCCTTTGGCTTTTCGGTTGGTCCTGTTGCTTGGCTTGTACAGATGCCCCTTCTCTCACATGGACTTCGAATGTAGCGGCACGCAGATTCGGAATTCTCTGGGAGTTATCCCAGAGACTGCGCATGGGAGATATTTCATGAGTTTGACTTCCTCTGGAGGTCATGGACGTGGACTTCTTTGTCGGGAAGCTCCTGGGCTTGTGAGGGTGCACAGCATGTCTATTGCAGCTCGAGGTTTGAACACAATTGGGTGGAAGAAAGTAGACTTCCGAGTGAGGTCGAGCGTTTGCTGAGACCCCCCCATCTAAGCTCTCAGCGTGCGCCATGCTGCCTGTGCTCAGGATCTTACCCGCAACTCCCGCAACTGTGCAGAAAAAGCACCGGAAACAGAGGCCACTCTCCAAGAACTAAGAACCCCTGGACTGGAACGCTCCACCCAGCAGATCGCGAAATTCAGGGCCGAACCATGTTGATGATTTTGCAAATCCTCAGCTTTGATTTGCAACTTTCGGAAGGCTCCCTTCCAGGGGGAAAGAGAGGGTTGGCTCTGATTCCTTTGGTCGCTCAGAGACCACTATCAAAGCACCCTTTCTGCCCTAAAAGAGCAAAGAGGTTCGGACACGTTTCTGATTGCAACGAGTTGATCGGCCTCTCCTTGGTGTCGAAGATGTTCCTCGGAAGCACAGGGTTGTAGCATTGTCCTTGGGGGGGTTCAGGGCAACCCCTAAAATCCCCCAATATGGTTTATGATGATGATTGGCATGTGGGGTTCGGGCCCCTATAGGTGAGTGCCGTGGGAAAAGAGTACCAGAGAAGCTCGACCCAACGATTCGACCCACAGTCCCGAATAGGAGGTTGGCAAAGTTGGCAAGACCACTCGAGGCCCTCAAGGCCCCCCGAAGAAGCCGACATTTTTCCAGGCACAAGGAAACTCAAAAGCTGGACTACTTCGCAAAGTCCAGCCTGGTCTTGCACGATGAGGCCGTGAGGGCTCCGACTGACGAAGAGCTGTTAGAGCTCCAGAGCAGGATGTCCCCGGACACATCGAAGTCTAAGATCTCTTGGTTCCTGAGACCGTCAGAGCCTGGAGCTGAGAGTCGGCACAGGAAAACGGCGTGGGGCACCAGTTTGTGGAGCTTCTGAAGGGCGGCGAATCCGTTGCAACGTTCAAGGCGCGATTGCACAACGCCACGCAGAAGAGCGCAGAGCATCTGTACTGCACATTCAGTGGAGCCTTCAGCAGAAACATGAAGCATACAATCATGGAGACAGTAGAAATGCTTCGCTTGGTGTGACACCTCTTGCTTTTGTGCTTTACCGGTTGAATTCCTCATCCAAGACCAGTCTGTACTATGAGACTGTACCAGTTGTTTCTTCTTTGGAAATGCTTTGGTTCTCTGCAAGCTTCCGGCTGAAGACGCCTTAAAACAGGGCAAAAGGGACAGGAAGAGCCTTCTGGGAGATCCACATTGAGAGCTTCTCGGGAGGCCCACTGAAGAGTGCGTCTTTTGGATGACTTCCCCCCGAACCGTGGCCTGCTCCGAGCCCTCTGAGAGTCCAAATTTGAATTTGAAATTCAAGCAACACGCACTGTTGCACAGCTGAGGCACCTGCCAACCATGAGCCGCTTACGGTTGATCGATCTCAAGCACTACGAGCCTCGCTCTGCTTCAGGGGAGAGGGAGGTGGGCAGATAGTCGGAAGGCACGGAGGGAAGAGGAAGGGGTTTTAACAACTGCGAGTGCCCCCCCAGATTTGATGTCTCGAAGGAACCAACGTCACATTGTCTCGATCACTTAAAGGGCCAAAGGGTTCTCTGCCTTGTCAAAAGAATGCGAGATTTGTAGAAACACACACGCCAATCCTGTCACTGCGAACTGCTTGCAAAGTTGCCAGGCAAGGCACAAACGTCTTTCATGCGAGCTTGGCCACTTCAGCCTTTACACCTAAGCCCGGTTCTGAAACCTGCGCTAAAGGGGCAGCGACCGCTTTGCAGAGGGCTCAGAAAGCTGAGAGCAAGGAGCATGTGCATGGCTTCACGGTGGCGAAGTATTGCAACGGGACCTTTACTGAAGCGGCAGACTGGGTCAAGGACATCTGCGAGTGTTAATGTCAGATGTAGGACTTATTGGCTTATTACATGCATTGAGTTGAGGTTGGGGTTGTGCTGGTAGGCATCCAGCAACGAAGAAAGTACACCTTCGTGGGAGTCAATATCGTGAAGTTGATTAATGCCTGCGTACTTGTTCCTTTGACTGTCAGAACGGACAGCCATGAGCCAGGGCAGGGTACAAGCCCCACCCCCCTTGGGAATGCTCACAAAAAAGTTCGTGTTTAGCCAACGACCTGGACATGTGTGCACAATTACACCCAGAGAACGCTGAGTCACACACTTCTTTTGTGAGGACGAGGCTTGGCAGTCTTAGCCACACAAGTCCAGCACAGAGCACGATGCTCCGTCGTTGGGCAGCGCACAGCGCACACCCACGGTTCCAAAGAAAGTCTCCAATGTTGAGTCCCTTCTTGCCCCGCCCCCTCCCCCCTTTTTCTGAGAACGGAGAGGCCAGGGCAGATGGTCTCAAGCTGAAGCGTGAGGATCACCCTACCCTGCTATGGCAGGAGAGCCCAGCAATCCAAAACTACGTCGACTGTCTCTGCACACGCCAGCAGCCTTCGTTGCTATGCTTCTTGCCTTTACAGTAGACGCGTGAAGTTTGAAGAATTGCAAGGTTACAGGGGAACACACCCCAAATCCCGACCCTAGTTATTTTTCTACATTGCACAGCCAGACCCTCTTTTCTGTTGTCGCATGTGCTGTTGGTTTTTCCGCCAGTGTATACGTGTTTGTGTGTGTGTGTGTGCAAGGGTGTGCATTAGTCTCTGAGATGTTGTTTTGCTTCTGAAACGAAGTATGCCCTTCTGGTGGTCGTGCGCATGGAATCCTTTCTTCGACTTGCTCTGTCCAAGCGCGTATACTGTATGCCTCTACTTAGGCCCCAGAGTGCCCCCAGAAATAAACCCCCCCCCCGGGAGGCCAAGAATGTGCACACCACATACCATATAGGTGCTTGAACCCGTCAAGGACCTTGGTATCTTGGTTCTTTTGTTTCTCAGACCTCCTCGAAGCGACAGGTGATGCGCAGCACTCGGAGGAGTTGGAGACCCTAAGGCCGAGAGTCTTGGTTGCAAACAGAACAACCAGGAGCCTTTGTGACAATACGCAGAGATTCACCCGTCCCCGACTATCCAGAGCAGGTATCCCCAACGGCAGAACGCACAACTTGTTGTCATGAAGTTTGTTGCTGGTCGGCCCCCGCCATGCAGTCCCCTTCTTAGAAAGCTCGCTTTCAGACCTCCTGAAATAGACCCAACCAAAACACAAAGGATACCTGTGGGTTTAAGTAGCCTCATGAGTTATACATTCCACACGTGCCACCCAAGCCAACCCCACCCCCCCCCCCCCCCCCGCCCTCCCCCAACCTTTACTCGTGGCCATTCACGACATCTCATTCATTCTGCATGGTTTAGGTTTTTAGGGGTCCAGTATTCACTGGCAGACAACTTGGAGTAGTGTCTACGTGGTTTCTGTGATTCCGTCTAGTTGCAAGTTACTGGCCAAGCAAAAATTCAGGCACACATAAATTTCCATTCGGCCATCATGAGCCTCTCGATCTGCGTTCTGCTTGAGCCAGCTTTCCTCTTGAACGTTTTCTAGGAAAAGACAGTGGCAAAGCACCCAGCGGACTCTTCTACGAAATGAACTGCCAAGCGGAAAGGGAAGGCTCTCCCCCCCTTTTCCTTGAGACGAATCCCCAAAAGGAAGAAAAGCCTCTTCTGAGTTCCCAGAGGTATCATGGCCCGACTCCGGAAGGCCAAGAAGTCCTTGTCCAGCGCGGCCTTGTTGGAGGCCTCGCTCTTCGGGCGAGGGCCTTCGAAGGATTGTGAGGGTGTTAAACTGTTAAACATTGTTAAACAGCTTAGCAGTTGAGGTTTGGGAGTAGATTCGGGCTCTCTTTTCTCATTCGGCCACGGCAAGCAGGAAAACCCGAGTGCGCAGGAAGGAAGGAAGAGACTGCAGCTTCCATCCTTCACAAACTCTTGGAGGTTGGGGTTAAAAAGTGACCCCTCAGGTCGCCGAAAGCTTCAAGTCCAAGGGCATCGGTCTTGGGCCCTGCACTGGTGGCGCATTTACCTGCAGCTTGTGCGCAGCAGCCTCAGCAACAGGGGCCCATGAGGGCCCAAATCGAACACAACACTCTGTCCCCACCAACAAAATGCGAGATCCCCGAGATCCCCTCCAATTCCCAAGGAGAGTAGTTGTTCTGGCCAATTCTTTGAGAGGTTTCTGGGAAGCCGCCCAGGAGTTCTCGTATTTATTGTTGGAGGGCCGGGGGGATCATGTGTTATTGAATGGGAGGAGGCCAATTCTCAGAAGCCACGAAAGTTTCTTGACTACTGCATCGCTCCCCGCCATGTTCAACAGTGGCATGACTTGTTGAGACAAGAGCACCCTTTTTCAAGAAGTGTCCACCGATTCTGTGGGGTTGCGGTGGCAGTAGGACAGCCTCAAAACCAGAAGAAGCATATCCACGAACATGACTTTGTTCTAGACGAACCAGAAGGAACCATTTCCACAGAGGAACCAGGACTGTTCGACTACAATCTACACAGAGACTACATGAAGGGATGCTGCAAGATAACTCCTATGGATGACTGCAACAGTAATCCCAAACCATGAAGAACCAGAACGAACAAGCCTAAGTTCGGGGCCCCAAGATGATCAGAGAGGTCAGTGGGCAGTGCTTGGGTGGTGGTGGTCTGGCCTTTGATCACCTGTCCGCATTGACGACTTTGATCAAGGACGGGTCATGCAACAACACATTTCAGCGAGCTTTGGTAGGTTGCGAGACAAGAGTAGATTGCGAGGCATGTGCATAGCTAGGCTTCGCAGAGCAGGATCAAACGAAGTACCGTAAGCTGAGGCGCTCGAGATATTTGGGGAGGGTTCAGGGTTTGCGGTTGGAAATGGTATGTTTAGCCGTGCGCATGGGGCGACCCCCAGAGAGGGAACCCTACAATTTGGGTACCCCTGAATCATCTTTCTAGAAGATAGTGGGTGATATTGGCTTCAAGATGACCCCGCCGAGTGGGCTTTACACCGGGAAGCTTAGCCATACTTATGCAGAGGATGCATGGCTAGAAAGGCAAAGAAAAAGAGGTCGAGATCCTGAGGGCTCTCTCGCCTACGAAGGTTCTAAGGCCTTGGGACTCTTCTTGGCAAACCAAGATTTCATTTTTGTAGGTCTGTGAGAAGGTCTGCCAGTTTCACATGTTAACTTTTCTTGTGATACTACTACCGTATGATATCCCATATGATGCGATCATAAGAAAGCATCCGTTTTAGGGTACGAGTTATGTGTGCAAACCTTTCCCCAATTTCGGCTTTTCCTTTTCGTGGACCCTTCTCAAGGGCCCGCAGAGTTGCGTCAAGGGTGAGTGCTCCGTGTGCTTTGGAGTCTCGGCCGGGCAGCGCACAAGGTTTTGGGATGTTTTGGGTAAGTTTGGGGGGTGCTCTTGCGAGGCTAATCGTACTTGGGCTTGCTTCCGGGACGTCGCATGCCAGATCCCAGATTTTTTCAGGGTTTCGGGCACGCCGCACCGCCACAGTCCCTTCGTGCAGTTGAATTTTCCTGGGGGGAGTTTTTTGGGAGAACATGTGCAGCGAAAAGGGACGTTTCGAAGCTGGACTGAGCGCTGCGCTCTGTTTCCCTTGGCATGGGAACGAACTAAGGAGTGAAACCTGGCGACCCTCTCTCGTGCTTTGGTCTTGTTGAGTTTGGGGAGGGGTGGAGGGGGTGTGTTATTCACCAGAAGATCTCTCTCTCAACCTTCCCACCAGTGACGAAAGACGTTTTATTGGAAGTAAGCTATTGTCGTGAGTTTAGGTCTAAACCCTGAATGGAATGGTTTGGGTGGTTTTGCCGCCTCGGACGTCGTGGGGTGGTAGAAAAGTATTAGATCGCCCTCCACAATCGGGCCTCTGCTACATCCTAACCTTCACAATATCTGCGCCCTTTTACAGCAATCCCTACGTAAAACCTAAACCTCTCTTTGACCTCTCTGACCCTTTGGCCCCCCCCATTATTCAACACGAATTAGGCAATTTTGGTCCATTTTGGCCACTCTGACCCTTCTCACCCTCCAGAGTTGAGCACGAATTTGGCAATTTGATCCATCTTGGCTTCTCTAATCCCTTTGACCCCCGATTGTTCAATACGAATTCAGCGATTTGATCCATGTTTCTCTGACCCTCTGACCCGCCATTGTTCAGCACGAATTAGGCAACTTGAACCATGTCGACCCCTCTGATCCCTTTGACCCCCCATTGTTCAGCACGAACTAGGCAATTTGATCCATTTTGGCGCCTCTGACCCTCCCTCTCTCTCCCCCTCTCCCTCTCTCTCTCTCTCTCTCTCTCTCTCTCTCTCTCTCTCTCTCTCTCTCTCTCTCTCTCTCTCTCTCTCTCTCTCTCTTTGTGCTTCCCTCTACACAGAGCAGGGAGCAGTCCCCCGAAGGTTCATTCTAAGCTTCGGCGTGTCCGTGGCGTCGTGCAACGGTGCCGCGGCCTTCTTCACGAGCTTCCACATCTGGGCCGCAGTCACCTTGTGCATTGGCGGCGTGCTCGGAAAGATTGCCGATGCCATCGGCTGGTCCGCATGTGCAGGGATCGCTAACGTGGCCTACTACCCCTTCATCAACAAGATGACGATCACGTTAAGCCTTCCCATCTTCGTCCCACCTCCCTTGGGTGTGGCGGCTCCTTTGGAGGTGAACTTGAACCTGGGAGACCTCACGCCAGCTGTCTACAGCCACTGTGGAAAACAAGGCCACGGAGAGTACAACTGCCTTCAGAGCATGTTCAATGCCCGAGGACCTACCAGGGTCTCTGTGGGGGTGGATGTTCTCCTGGGTGTGAGCATCCCGGTCTTGGGCTCGGTAGGCAAATGGGTTCGGATCCTTGGCTTTGAGATGGCCGAGAAAGACAATTCCCGCGAGCTCGCCATGAACAAGGCCGGGGTCACCATTGAGTACATTGGCAGCAACCGTGAAGGTGGGGAGCTCTGTGGCAAGACCTTCTCCAACGTGAACTGCATCAAGGAGGCTGGGGACAAGAACTACCGAGCCAATACACAGGACAAGCATGGAGATCGCTTCCATGTCTACCGGAATCCCAATGACGAAAACGACCCGAGAGCCTTGTGCGTGCGGCGCGTTGATCGATGGGATGCCGGATGGGGCATGGAGCTGGAGTTGGCCTGCAAGGTGGACAACAGTCAGGGCGGGGGAGGCGGCATTCTGATCCCACTGGGCACAACGCACCATGACAAGAAGTGCGTGATGCCACCTGAGCCGGTGCATTGCCCTGGGTGGTCAGGCAACCGGGGCCACCGCTTAGGCTTTGACAATGAAGATGCAGGATTCAAGATCACCGAGGAGGGTGGCCGCATTTGTGGTCACTTGGAGCACCGCCGGCGCCGGCGGCGCCGTCACCGACGGCGCCGGCGCAACAGCCTCGGCTGGGACATGAAGCTTGTCCTTGAGTGCGATTCAAAAGGCCACAAGACTGACTACGTAGTTCAAGACATCAACTTCGGCACGTCCCATACCAATATGAAGTGCCTCTTACCTACACACCGCGTGAAATGCGAGTGGGATGCCGGCAATGCCCACAAGCGTGCAAACGACCACAAGAACGGCGACCAATTCCACATCTGGAATTCTCACACGAACCATCTATGCGTGAAGCGGACGGATGCCCAGACGCTCATGGGAGGTAAGTTTTGGGTATCGAGTTTTCGGGGTGTGATTGCAAAGAGTTCAATGCCAACTGGGCATATGCCATTTCATTATTTCCAGATGCACTTCAGCCAAGGACGCAGGGGGTGGTTGGGGCATGGACTTGCGGGTTCAGTGCAAGCAATACGAACAGCTCTGGGGCAAGACCAAGGTGACGATCGGCTCCAGCCGCCACAACGAGTTCCTTGCTGCGCACAGCACAGCGTTCTTTTGTTCATTTTCGTCAAGTTGGGGTTCTCAGCACCAAAGCTTGAAGAACACTTCGGCTCCCGATGCCACACATAAGGGGAGAATATTGGAAGACCCGGAAGACCCATGGAAAGCCCCCCCCAAAAAAGTGAGCTTTTTTCTTCCCTGCTTCGGAGAGGAAGTGCGTGCACTTCGCGCAGAAGGGCCTCCGCTGCGACGACTTGGCAGGCAACCGGGAGTATCGCTCCATGGACACGGACAAGGAGGACTCGTCTTGCTCGTGACATGAGATCTAGCTTCAGAATCACTTCCATCACATCTACTTCCTCGTTCGACGGTTAGCTGATTGACAATCCCATCTCGGGGAAGATACCGCTCATTGCCTGGATTCGTCAGTCTACCCAGGTCGGACAACACCCACCTGAAGTCCCCCATAGTTCCGGGTAGCACCCTCCCTTGACGCCTGCAGGACAGCTTCTACATTGAGCTGCGAGACAATCACGTGTGCGCTCGGCGCACCGACGGTGGCCGGCGCCGGCGTCATCGGCGGCGAAGGAGGTGGACGGAGGGCTGGGGCACGAAGCTTGGCGGAAGCTTCAGAGGGGCCCTGCCTTGGCTTCAGGGATGGAGAGGAACGACCAAATTGGAGATCCACAGGAACAGAGGTGTGAACCTTCGATCTCGACCCACCAACTTGGCAAAAGGAAGCCTTGGCCTTCCTAAAACCAACTCTACCATGGGCCGTATGTAACAGGCCACACGCACCTCAAGTATCCGGAACACTGGAAAATTGAGTCGTTCTCGGCTGATCAATGTGGTAAACTTGGATGTAGAAATCTATGGAACTGAAGTCATTGAGCCTTCGGACCCCATTCTTTCACACTGGATCAGCAAACTTCGGCACACATGATCGACAGCAGTAGCACCGCAAGTGGCCTGCTTGAGCTTTGGAAGGCAGCTCATGTCGCAAGACCACCAAAGTGAGGCCAGCGCCATGTGCACAGCGGCACAGCAGTGATGCAAGAACACCGTCTCCAGTTCGTTGCTGCAAAGAATTTCAACGGCCGTGAGGATCCTCAAGGGCCCAAAGCTAGCGGCAACCGCCAAAGCAACTTCGGCCCCACTGGTGACATGGGGGAGGAACATGGTACACATGAGAACAACAGGCCCGGGATTGTACAGATTGCAAGAACGACTCTCACTGTGTGTCAAGCCAAGGAACTTGGAGATCGACTGCAAGGCCAACCCTCCATGCAGGGCTTCCGATTATCGGAGTTTCTGAGCGTTAGGGTTCCTGGTGACCCCCCCCCCCCCCCCCCCCGGGGCCCACCCAACAAGCAAAGAACCAGGCAGCTGCTAGAGGCCACGTGGCTCCGAAACCCCAAAACCTGTCAAAGCCTGCAGGTGATTCAGGGACCTTGGGACATCGTCCCGATTGGCGGGTGTGGGACACCATCCCACTATAGGTGGGCTAGTCTAAGTCGAAGTGTGTGTGTGTGTGTGTGTCTCTCTCTCAAGGCTGAGACTGTAGGGCCTCAGGGTTCACAAGGGTAGTGGAGGCTACATAAACGCCCGTATATGGGGGGAGCTGCCTTATGCTGCTCTAGATTCACGTTCCATGTTGTCTCGTCGGATGTCGCAGTGTGTCGTCAAGGTTATCTCACAATCTTGGGACGCACTACGACCATGCTAGATTGATCGGCCAGGTTACCATACGAGTAGTCCAACATGATTCAGGCAAAATAGCCAGAAAAAGCATAGGCCATTTGGAGATGTTTATCATGCCAGCACTGCATTACATCACACCTAGCAGGCTGTTGAGAATTCCCAGTGCCTATTTTGGTGAGCTGTTGCGACTTTCGGAACATCTGGGGGAGGTTGGTGGGGCTCAATCAGAGGGCAGCCTGCGGAGGTTTGTCGGGGCTGCTCTTGCTACTTCCCCTGTTGTCTTACTGCGACTGCCTTTCACTTCCACCACTGCCGCATTTGCTGGTCATCAGCACATCTGGCATACATATATTCACGCACAAGGCGAAGAACCCTTCTCCCGCTCCCCAAACGGTCGTGGACAGAAACATGTTGCTCCGGCTTTTACAATGGCAATGGTTACCAGGTTAGCGGCCCTCAGGAGAGAGGTTCTGCAAGTTTCCTGGAGTCGAGACTGCTCGGCTCTGCCCGGCTGCCTCGGTGTCCGCGCCTGCAGGCTACCCATCCCGGGATTCTCTCGCACATCATGACCCGCTTTGCGCACCTTTGGGGTGCCTCTACGTTGCAGGCGCACCCCCGCCCCCACCCGTCGGGTGTTCAACTCCTGTGATGCCCGTTGCAAAACGACGCCGACTTACTGACTTCGCCTTGGACTCTCCACTCCTGTGGGGTGCCTGGTCGAAGCCCCAACACTGCAGCACCGTCACTGGCACTGCCAGCCTTCCCTTAAGCAGGACGGGGAAAGCGGGGTGCCTACCTTGCCCAATCCCTGGACAAGTGCAGGGCGTCGCGATGCATCCCTGTCCTCCGCCACGTGCCAAGAACTGCCTGCAGCAGCCAAGCTGCGTGCCAAACATCCCAATGCCCGCGACTTGCCTGTTGAGCAGGTTCCGGCGCTGCCTCCCCCCCCCCCACCCCTGTATGCACCATTGCAGTTGTCAACTGTTGGTCAAAAGAGAATTGCTTTCTGATTGCCATGAAGCTCATTGGTTTGTTCGTGGCGGGAATCGTATTGGGCATCATAGTCTCGGCTACTGGCTATGTTTGCTGTGAGTAGCACCTGTTGTCCTTTTTCTCACATGGCCGCCCCTTTTGTTGCTCTTACCACCGTTGCCAGTAGCATTATGAAGGGATTGATGGCAATGATCATTAAACGTGCCCTTGCACATGCAGTGATGGAGGTGCTTCCTGCCAGAGCACCGAGTTGTTTGCGATGAGGAAGTCAACTGGCACCATCCCTTCCTCATTTGGGAGGATCACACCAACCACATTTGCGCGAGGCACTGATGAAGATGATGTCCCAAGGGAAGTCGGTGATGCAAGGGACCAAGGTTGAGGTCATTCAGTGTCAAGCGCCACTATTCCTGTGCGAACCTTGAGGGAAGGCATAGGCTCACGCAAAGGTGCCCTTGAACCGGGTTTATCCTAGCAATCCCCACAAGGGCTGGTGAACCCTTTACCCTCCCAAAAATTCTTCTTTGCTTTTCAGGTTTGTATTTTGCTGGACTGGAGACATGGTCTTCATTGCAGGTTCCGTGTTTTGGGCTTAGGTTCCTTCAGAAGCCTATTGCAAAAGCTTCACCAGGACAAATGGCGGAATGAGGTTTCTCCGCTAAAAATGCTACAGAGTCTTCCGTCTCGTAGTCCTGCCTTGGTTCTCACTCGCACTGCTTGGTTCTCAGAGAAGTGTCCCACGAGATTTCCCCAGATATGTTTAGACAAGAACACCAGCAGCTTCTGCTAGGCGCATGGACGGCAATCACGGCTGGACTGGCAACCTCCAGTTTCTGGGATGCTCATTTGCTGAGAGCTTTCCAAACGTCATCTTCGTGCAGCTTCTGAAGGGGGGCCCCTATACTTTCTCAGTTTCCATTTCATTGCGTTGGATTTGAACAGGGCTTCGGAGATCGCCCTGGGCTAACATTGAAATTCAAAACACACACAGACACACACACACACACACACACAAAAAAAAAAAAAAAAACGCACGCACGCACACAGATACACAACTTGCACGCCTTCTCCGCAGGCTGGGGTTTAGGAGTTTATAGGGTTTCTTTTTTGCAATTGCACGGAACTGCAAGCATCTGCAAGCCTTTTGTTTGGAGAGTTTAGTTTGCTCCGCTGACAAGGTTGGAATGTCAGAAGAAAGAGAAGCGTTGGACAAGGACGACTGTGACCATCGGCGCCAGCGGTGGGAACGAGAAGTGCGTGGATGTTCCGAATCAGGAGAAGATTCAATGCGCCCATGGCTCTACTTGGAGCCTGAACCTGAACTCCCTCAACCGCATTAAACCGCCTAAACCCCAAACCCTAGCCACACCTGAAAGTCGCAACCCCCCCGCAGGCCCAGTCCTAAAGGCAGCAGAGGCCTGGGATTGCGGGGTGTCAGAGGAGTTGAGTTGACCGTTGAGGCGACTACTTGGCGGGCAATCCGGAGTATCGCCTTTCAGACCCACATTGGGGCGACACCTTCAATATCGAGCATAAGGACGAGAGCTGGATTTGCTGCCCCTCTTTTTCGGGTCAAGTTATACAGCTTGCAGGGCGATACGTGCTGCGTTGGTGAGGGGCTGTGTGCTCCAAAGAGAGAGAGAGAGAGAGAGAGAACAAAAAAATCATGTTCTCAGAAGCTCCTCCCAGTGAAGGACAACAAAGTCTGCGCGCGTCGGACGGACAGTCATGGCGGTTGGGGTATGCACCTGCGCTTGAACCTGTATGGCGCATAAGAAGCTTTAGGACCTTGGGATTTAGGGCCTGCTTGGGGTTCAGGGTGGAGGGTTTAAAGTGTAGGATCAGCAATCAGCCACGTAAACCGAGGCACTTGACCATCCATTGCAAGGAATATTCCTACAGCATTCGGGAGATCATAGAAGCGCCTAAAGAGGTGGCTAAAGAGGTGACGGAGACGATTGTCCAGAACCCGGAAGCGGCCAAAAAGGCGGCGAAGACGACTGCCAAGAACATGAGGAATGCAACTCGGCTCACTTCTCAGTCTTTTCTCTTGCTGCCTGCTGCAGCTGATAAGAAAGAATGCTTTTGGTTATGCACTTGACCTTTTAAACGCTGACGTCCCAACCATCTCCTTCCATACATATGTACTATGTACGGCCGCAAGACTTGTATTGTATTTCCTGACCTAGCCGAACCACAGTACCACACTAATCTTTAGATCCTTACGTCTGTGATGCACCTCCTCGTACTGAGATGCGGAAATTTGGGTTGCGCTGATCTGGGAAATGCAAGTTCCGCTGATCGGCAGCTGTGCATATAGCTGTACCGAGCATGAACTTTTCCTTGCGGTCTGCAACAGCTCTCTGATCTCTCACTCTGGAGCCGTGCTTTCCAAGTCCGAAGAATAGTAACACTAATCCTTAGATCCCCAAGTTTGTTCTTTCAGTTCTCCCAGATCTCAAAGGCTTTCATTCAGCGCTTCTAGCAGACGAGAGCACGAAGTTCGGGCGAACGCACAGATGCGCACGCAGTCTGCACATCGAGATCTTCCAAGCTCCTACTGTACAGAATTCTGGTTCCATCTTCTGATGCACCTCCTCTTACGAGATGAAGAGGGGGGGCATTCAAGTTCCGCTGATCTGGAAATTCAAAGCTCCGCTGATCTGGAGCTGTACATATTGCTGAACCGAGCATGAACCTGCCCTTGCGGTCTGCGGTCTGCAACAGCTCTCTGATCTCTGACTCTGGAGCCGTGCTTTCCAAGTCAGAAGAAGAAAAAGGTACCACATACCTGCATGCCTCCATGGTTGCTTGGCCCATAGGCCATGTCTGTGTTCACGCTGCCCTCAGATGCAGCACTTTGGCACGCTGGCACGTTGGGCACGTACTTTTTTTTGAGAGCAAGCGATCACCTCACGGGGCGCCAGCTCCTCTCAGTTCGGGCGCAGGCAAAAAAGCCCCCTGGGAGTATGTAAAGCACAGAAGAGCACAATGTGCCTTTCGGGCGCGGCTTCTCTCCTCAGACTTTTTAGAGGGAGGAATCAGTCAACTGCACACAAGTCCTCACCTGTGTCAGACACGCAAAGGAGCGTTGTCAACAGGGAAGAAGCCCGAGAATGCTCTGGGGAATCGAAGTTGCCCATGTCGGCATTGGTGCAAGTGGGTGCCACCCTATTCCACGAAGCTGGGCTCGCGGTTTCCTATGTTGTTTTGATGCGGGCAGCGAGTGGCAGTTTAGGGGAACTAGATTGAACTAGATCCTCGGATTCAGGACGTGGGTGCCAGAGTGCATCGGCTGTCCTCAGTGTTGGGGCTGCCCACCTTGCTGACATCCATACAAGCGGAGAGCACTGAGTGCGAAACGGCCCCAACAAACTACAAGGGCGGGTCCTCGAGCCCTCGAGAGGACAACGGCGGTGACCCCTCTGAGTCGTCGGCAGACCGGTCGCTTGTGCCCGCTTTAGGCTGGTCAGTTGTGCCCGCCTTACGCGGGTCACTTGTGCCCGCGTACGTGCCTCAAATCACAGCAGGGCCGCACTTTGGGCCACCTCCCGCCAAAACGCAGACCTGTCACTTGTGCCCACCTTTCGGTCTTAAAATATGGCAGGGCCACAGGATGAGGTGTTTGTCGGTTGAAAAGTCGCGTCCCTGCCACATCCGGCAGGCTCTCTGCCCCTGCCACCTGTCGCCACACACAACACCCAGTCACCCGCCCAGGAAACGGGTGAGGGGAGGGGGGATGGGGGGGGGTTTCGAGGGGCAAAAACGACTGTTGTTGACCAACGCGCCCTGCACGGTCAGCCGCAGGGGGAGCCCTGCACGGTCAGCCGCAGTGCTTGGGAGGGGGTGGAGGGGGAAGGGGGGGAGGGGGGGCTTGGGCGGGCTGGGCGTCTACAGACATCTGACCCTAGGAAGGCCTTCCACGCAAGGCCTCAGGTCAGTTGTTTCTGGGTCCAGGGTTCGGGTTTGGAGGGGCAAAAAAACGACTGTTGTTGCCTGATGCGCCCTGCACGGTCAGCCGGAGTGCTTGGGAGGGGGTGGAGGGGGAAGGGGGAAAGGGGGGGCTGGGTGTTTACAGGCATCTGACCCGAGGGAAGCTTTCCACACAAGGCCTCGGGTCAGTTCCTTCTGGGTTCAGGGGCATAAAAAACGACTGTTGTTGACCAATGCGCCCTGCACGGTCAGCCGCCCCCCCCCCCCCCCCCCCCTCCCCCGTTGCCAGGGCGGGTGACTGGTCCCCCCCCTCCACCCCCCTCCCCCCTCCCTCCCCCGTTAGGACTGGATGTGGTTGACTGGATGTGGTTGTGTTGCCCCCCCTCCCCCCTCCCCTCACCCGTTTCCAGGGCGGGTGACTGGGTGTGGTGTGTGGCGTCAAACAAGCTTATTCTTATCCCCCCCCCTTCCCCCCCCCCCCTCCCCCCGTTGCAGGGCGGGTGACTGGATGCGGTTGTGTTGAGCGCGTCAAACAAGCTTTTTCTTGTCCCCCCCCTCCACCCCCCTCCCCCCTCCCTCACCCGTTAGGACTGGATGTGGTTGACTGGATGTGGTCCCTCCCCTCACCCGTTTCCAGGGCGGGTGACTGGGTGTGGTGTGTGGCATGAAACAAGGTTATTCTTATCCCCCCCCCCTCCCCCCCCCCCACCCCCCCCCCCCCCCCCGGTTTGCAGGGGCGTCAAACAAGCTTATTCTTGTCCCCCCCCCCCCTCCCCCCCCCCCCTCCCCCCTCCCTCACCCGTTAGGACTGGATGTGGTTGACTGGATGTGGTTGTGTTGCCCCCCCTCCGCCCCTCCCCTCACCCGTTTCAAACAAGCTTATTCTTATCCCCCCCCCCTCCCCTCCCCCCCGCCCGTTGCAGGGCGGGTGACTGGATGTTATTCTTGTCCCCCCCCTCCCCTCCCCCCCCCTCCTCCTCACCCGTTGGGACTGGATGTGGTTGACTGGATGTGGTTGTGTTGACCGCCTCAAACAAGCTTATTCTTATCCCCCCCCCCCTCCCCACCCCCCCACCCCCCCAGAAACGTGGGCACAAGTGACGGGGTACGTGGGCACAAGTGACGGGGTACGTGGGCGCAAGTGACCCGAAACCGCGTGGGCACAAGTGACCGCGATCGCGTGGGCACAAGTGACGGGGCTGCCCACCTGAGTCGATGCGTTAACTTCAGCAGCGTACCGGGTCTCGGGCAAGAGCTTGCTTGTTCCCAGCGCGTGGGACATCGCGTGATTGCACAATACTGCGACGTGACCTTTGAATTCGCTTGGGCTCGGGGAGATCTGGGTCTCGATCCCCCTCCACCTTCGACTCTCGTCGGTACGGTCCTAATGCGGGGTGCAATCCGGTGCCACTTCATAGGAGCCCGAAAGCTGCAGCTTGCCGTGCGCCCGTTGGCATGATGGCTTGGCGTTGATCTGATGGTTCGACGCGAATGCGCCATTAGCTGCGTTCCACAGCTGCGTTTAGCTTACCGGCCATGTGGCATGCAGCTTCCCTACCAAAAGAAGCTCAGCCGCCAACCGCTTGCTCCATGTTGGAAGATGAGGCCTTTGCGCGTTGTGGCACTGCCACCATGGCAACGCTTCTCAGTTGTCAACCACCTTGTTCCCAGCAGTGGTTGCCGCTCTATGTCGCCGATGTATCGGGGGCTCCTAGTCCTAAATCTGGTTCCAGTTTGTATAACCTCGGTGACGAACTGGCCGAACGTCTCCGGGCCATCCCAAGACGACACCTGGTTACGGTCACCCTTCCACTGTCCGGCCGCCCAGGACCCGAACATGTTGAGTTCTGGGCCCTCATGAAAACAAAGCCCTCACCAATTCGATTTGCAAACCATTCAGGGCACATCTGAAGCACGGGCTTCTTTTTGACCACAATCAGGCCCACTCCAGCTGCGCTATGCCGGCGCCGGAAAGGGCAACGATTGATGGTACCAGGCTGATGTATACCTCTATGCCTTCTGGATGCGAGAATCATGTTGTGGAAGCTTAGTTCCAGATCGCTACCGGAACGGGTCGAGAGCCCTGGTTGCTGGCGAGGAATGCGGACAACCGCGAGGTTGAGGTATGAGACGTAGTGCCTGACATGAGGGCCACTTGCAGCTGTTGTGTCTGGAAGCCAGAAATGAAGTCCGGAAAAGCTCGATGCCAGCATAGCTTTTCTAAAAGCTGCCCAGTCTACGAGGCCCGTGAGGCGAGCTACCCTGAGCTACCCTTTTAAGAGGGCTGAAAGCATCAAAACTTCAAGGGCATCATGGGCGTCAGAAGAGAACAGCAGGGCACCAGAACGATATCGCGAGTGTGCAAGGCATGGAGGGGCACGAAACAAGGAGTTTTAATCCTCGGATTCCATCGAGTATCTTGCTGCAAACGCACGGGCAGGTCAGCACAGCTTCAGAGCCTCAAGTTGATCTCTGAGGGGTTTGACAGAAGCCTTGCCTTAGCTCTTGAATTAAACGCCAGACAACAAACACGAGAATATGAGAGTTTCCGGTAATGGGCGACCCTTAGCATAGACCTCAAAATACAAAGGGCCCCAAGAAGGTACCCCTAATTCCGGAAACTCCTAATATCGGCGCGGAGATTGCAATAGAATGAGGGTAGATGTTGATGGAATGGCTGCAAGATGCCGCAAGATGCCGCAAGGCAGTAAGCTTACATGTGTCCGACTGCCTGCTGTGTGTGGCTCGCAGGAGTGTGCTTCTGAGCCTAGGTAATTTATAGATAAAATTTCTCTTGCAGCAATGAAGCGTTCTGCTTCACCAGCACGGAGGTGACTTTGTCCGAAAGGAGGATACCTGTAGAAGACCTGCGTAGTGACCAGAAAGCCTTCAACACAGATCCCTGACAGCACAGGGTCGGATGTAGCGCAACTGCATACGCCAAAGACTCCTTCGGTGCTGCAAGCATGTGCTTACATGTCCTCGTCACTCTCCAGGTACGTCTGCGTGCTGGTCCTTCTGATCGTTAATGAAGGCGTGGCCTTCAAGGTCACATCGGTCACATCGGACCCGAGTTTTCTCCAGTCCAACGAAACCTCCGCTGCCGAAGTTGAGGCCTTTCCTTTGTCGCCTGTTTTTTGTGTTGGGCGGGGGGGGGGGGTTGGGCCT